GCCACGCGCACTGCCCCTAGCGGAGCTTTGTGGAGTCATCAACCCACCTCTGCTAGGAATCGAAATCTTTATCGGTGCGAGCCACTGGCTGTTTGATGGACATCGGAATGTCAGAGCTAGTTGATTCTGAAGATGTAAAAGATATGATCATAGATCAAAGCTCTATATGTGATAGTGAAGCAGCACGCACTCCGCTAAGTGATAGTAATTACGATATCAGCTTACTGAATTATGAAATCACTGTTGATCAAGCGTCAATTCATCAATGGTTGGACCATCCGATGATCATGGAGTGGCACATAAGTATCCACTGAGTGACTTTGAATGTAATGAAGACGATCCGAATGTCAATATTGACGTTGATAGTGAAATAGCAATGCATACCAAGCCTGGGTCAGCGGATGCATGTGAAGTGGCACGTATCCACGTGGTGACGACGTCACGTCCAACAACTCGTCATCGGAAATCTATAGATATGTCAGCTGTAGTTTAAAGCAAGTTACGCTAGATGATGAAATTACCCAGAGAGACACGAATCACAAATTTTGTGCTGTGTCACAAAATGATGACGACCGTCAGCTGTAACACTCGTCAACGGAGTGACTGGTGCCTGTGATGGTACATCAGAATTGCAGCTATAAACTCGTAAAATTTGCTATTAAAACTCGAAGAACTGTTGGTCGACGAGTTTGATCACTGACTGAAGAATAGAGAAATTTCAGAGGTGGTGGTCATTCGACCCGACATTATAGATTTAAACTCTTAATCAATTCTAATGAAGTCGTTCTGGAGGACACAAAGCATCAATCAGTTCGCGTAGGAAGTCATGAATATTAAAAGACCCACATGATCTCTCAAATCTATTTGCCAAGGAATTTCAAGATGTGGTCCGCCACAACCTAAACTCGATCCAGATAGAGGTTTCTGTCATGAAATTGACTTAGTTCCTTGAACAAAATACTGTGTCACACGACAGCGGTATTTTCCTAAGGAGCTATGTGATATCATTAATGACTTCTTCCGTGCAAAGCACGAGGCAGGAAGGGTTTGTGAAAGTTTATCTCTATATTCGACACCGACATTTTGTTTCAAAAAGCCAAGCGGCAATTGGTGTACTGTGCATGCTTGTGCAAGCTTGATGCGGCCAAATTCCAGCAACGACACCCATCCATCAAAAGGACGTTTTCCAAATTGATACGGTTTGTTGTACAATGTTATTGCACTCGACTTGGTTATTGGATATTGTCAACTGCTCTTGCGAGCGAGTGATATTTTGCTTAAAGCAGTGAAAAATCCGAGTGGTATGCTATGGAAATGGCTGATGATGCCCCAAGGACTGTCTGATGCTCAAGCAACATTTAATCGTCCGGTGATGAAACTTTTCCGCCCATATAAGGGTTACGCGCTGACCTACTTCAACGAAATTTCCGTCCATAGTCGTGTCCAACAAGATCGGTCATTTGTTGCAAATCACATCATACCGCGAGCCGTGCTCGAATGCATGCGCACTAATAAAATTTTCACCAACGCGTCAAAATGCATTTTAGTGCACAATATATTTCTATCTGGACTGTTTTATTGGTAATAGCGGCCTTCGACCTTATCCTAAAGACTCGCAAAGTCGCGCCACTCTGACGCCAAGTCTTCATGCGCCTGTACTGACACACCGACCCCCTCCTACGTTTCTTGACGAGCAAGGGAACTCGCAATCACATATAAATAGCTCCTGAAGCGGCGTCGTCACAAATTTTAATGCCAGCTTCTAGTTAAGTGGCGTGAATACTTTGAGTCTTAAAACTCATGGTGGTTTGACGCACTCCTTCAGAAGGATTGATTGTACACCGGTGACGTTTTTGAGCGTCGTGCTGGAGGTCAGCTTGCACCAATCTCGCTTCTTACTAATAAGTGTAAGGGTGTACGGCTCTTTCGTCAAAAACGAGTGACCCGTGACTGTCTGAACAGTTGAAACAGTGGTGATTTAATCAGCATCTGATTTTGCATACTGTTTGCGATTCATAGAACACAGCTGGCAATTTGCCTGCAGCTATGTAAAATCATGGCGCAGTTTGAGCTCGAACCGAAAGTTGACCCTGGAGAAACAAGCTCAGGGGGCATTCATACTGGGCAAGAGACTTGCCTTATACGCCCAGCAACTGAACGTGCTATCACTTTCGGCCTCACTATCGTCGGGGTACGAAAGGACCGGGATCTTCAGCTATGTTCGTACAGAGGCAACACGTGCTTATTGCGTTAATTTTAGCTGATACTCAGAGATCGTCGTCGCTTCGGGTGTCAAGCATCTCTTTCGGAGAGCATCTAGCTCGGCAATGTTGTCGGGCGTCGTAGCATCGCGTCCTGTGAGCCAAGTAGTCAAGGGCTGCCCCGCAAACTTTCTCGAAAACTCATCAACGCTCAAAGGCTTAAAGCGATATTCCGAATTCGCCTCGGCAAAATCTAGTGCCTATTACAAACTTCTAGCTCTCTTATTTATACTATGTTGCAGTGCTGTTGCTCATCGAGATTGTTGGTGATGACAGCTCTTCAAGAGTAGTTAAGGCACGCAACGCTGTTAGCGCTTAAGCATTGATCTGTTCTAGGAACGGGTCCGGCGCGATGTGACATGACTCGTACGACGCTGACGTGGCAAATTTGGGATTCACCCTCTTCCACAACATTTTCACTGTCATGGTCAATGACGTTCTCTTCTATTATGACGTCTCCCAAAGACTTGGAGGAATGCGAAGACTTTGCAGTTGATGCAAAAGCTGCCGCGAACCTTACCGTGAGCTAATCTGTTCCCTCCGATCTATCTTAATCAGAAAGGTGAAGAATGTCGATTCGTAGTAACAACTATTTGGTGGAGAAGGGTGTTAGGATGTTACTTAAATGGTTGTGAAAACCAGGTACATTGGTGTGTTACACACACAAAGGGATCAGCGTCACTGATAAGACTTACATTTGTATCACATACGCTAAGCGATAATACCGTACCCTATCGGTTATGATTACAGGTTATCTACCGTAATATGGTCTTCATAGAGACGACGTAGTTCTGGTGTGGTACACAGAAGAACTACGATGGGGACTATTCGATCAGGTAGGACAGTTTTAAGGTTAAAGACGTCAGTAAGGTGTATTATCGCAATAAATCAGTAGATATATTCAGTTCGCCTTTTGATCTGTTTCAGACACGTGTCTTTCTAAGGCGTCTCTGGTCGTAAGAGTCATGTAAGTGTCTGAGTTAAGGATAAGTACTCTTGGGCATCAGTGACAAGTGATTCGATGGAGTCGTGGTCCCCCGGACCAGGACTATCAGCTTAAGAACTTGTACATACACTCAGAGTTAAGTCTCACCAAGTCTGCACGACTTGATACCCTTTAAAATGATATCTGCTTTGTTTAATATACTAAGATATTCTACGAGTCTAGAAGTCTTCCACTGACAAAGGAGTTAGGGTCGCCTCGCTACATTGTGAGCCCGACGGGTGTAGCTATAATTGACTGCGAGCAAAATGAATGCTGAGCTTTTCAAAACCTTCTTTTTTCTGTGTGAGTCCGTGTGACTGGAAACAACGCCAGGTGTATCCGAAACGTCATAAGATAGGGGAGCAAGCTCTGGAGCTCGCCCTTTGATATAAGTAATCCAGTTCATAAAACCGAATCAAGTTGTAAAACACTGTACAACAGCAGTCACTGAAGAAGGAGTATGATGCTGTTAACGTCTGTATTAACCAATACAGTATACTTGGGCAACGCGATCAACCTTGCTCATAAAGGTCCAGGCTTTGCTTTTATGATCATACCTTCGATCGATTTTAAGCCAATCACGTGCGTGCATCACACTAGTGACCTTGTCAAAGAGTGACTTCAGATGTGTCTATTTGCCTGTGAGAAGGAAAAGGCTATATCGCATCCGACGCGTGTAAGCTACACCTAACCGCGTTATTTAAAGACACACAGACACACAGATAAGTACGATTCAAAAGTTTGGCATTCACCCTTGCGCGCGCTCATTATTTACCTTCACCTTCGGGCTCGCACATAGGTGCAATGTGGTATTTTCTTCTTCAGACATGTTGGCAGATAGGCATTGTAGGTTTCAGTCTTTGCGTATATGGCATTGATTGCGACCGCAAAGTAATTGCTGTCAAACACACGCTTCATTGCCCGCATGTGATCGGCCCGAAAGTGATCAGGGCAAACAGGGGGCTAACAAGAAAATTCTCTGCACTTCCGAGACAGCAAAAATCTCGCTCCTCTGGCAAACAGTAAATGTGAAGCAGTTTTCATCCATAGTACTCATTCAGCATGAAAAGTAAGAAGTAATGGCCACCTTCCTCTCTCAGTGGCAGAGGAAGTTTACTCAGTTAACGCACCTTTTATCTTCATCATCGATTAATGATATGTCGTCGGCCGCACTTTGTAGTTGTCGGCGTAAATAGGCAGGATTCTACGCCGTCTTTCTTTGCTCAAGACAACATCACCAATCATGAAAGAGCAACTTCGACACGCACAGACCATCCCATTCCTTAGCCGCTAACCATCCAACACGGGTATGTGCAATTTCAGAACTTGATTCAGTTCTCTAGCTATGTTACCGACGTCAAAGGACAAGCTCCAGAGCTTGCCGCCATCTTGTAACTCAAAAGTGTTCGTCAAGTATGGATGCGTAGTCGTGCAGATACCAAGGAATGCGTCAGCATGAAAAAGCAGTTAGTGATACAAATATCTGGCTCGTCGCCACAGTTTACACAAATACGGGCATGCTTTGCACACTTATCGTTGTGACCTCAAACAAATGTCCCTTTCAACATCACCGCCTTACGTGCTGTTTGTCATTCACTCGCAGTTATCCTCGTAAAGCCAGACAGACAGACAAACAAACAAACCAAACCCACCTACAAACCGATCAGATTTAGGACATTCGAAATTCATAAACCCCACTCTTTCTAAGAACGAATCAGATATCCTCCTCTTCCTCTTCCTCCACAGTGCCAACAATGGAGCGAATGGAGCGCTGGGTACAGGACACGTTCGCGCCCGTGGTGCTCACGTGCTCGACGTCCGAAGCCGAGCGGATCGTGCAGAAGAACAACCTCTCCACCGCCGACCTCTTGAACGGCTTCTCGCGCCTCGACGACGCCGACACGCCCCTGCGTTCCGTGACGCATCCGGTTCAACTCGCACGCTTGAATTTCCGCTTCCTGGCGGCTAATCAGCTCCAAATGCCCGGGATTCGAGCAGCTACTGAGCAGCTAAACGCCAGTGTCAAGAGGTACCCGCCGCCACTCAACGCCGCGTCAGCTGTAGAGCTGGATATCCCTCGGATTACAAGACCTGAAGACGTGCCTATGTACCTTCGAGAGACTGGACTTGACACGGAAGGCGAGAACGAGTCCATGCCCTGGTACCAGTCATTCAAGTACACACTCATGGACACATTTCGCTGTGAAGAGTACAGTTTGCTGAGTCATCCAGTGGCTATGGTGGTCGTCATTAGCTCGACGGACTCGAGTCCACGTCATGCAATGGAAGAGCTCATGGCGCCACGGAACCTCCCGGCTCCATTCCAGCAAGGAATGTATGACGTGAACTTGGTGCCCAAGTTTTACGTGGTGGTGCATGATGTGCAGGAGACAGCGGGCACGTCCATTGATCCGGACATGATCTTGGAGAGTGTGAACGTGACCACAGTGAATGGAGCAGTGTTGCGGATAAACTCTGTGCCGATGGAAAAGGCCGTCGTTCCGTCGCCATTTGTGACTCTGTGGACGGAGAATCCGTACGTGAGAGTACCGCTGTTTCCAGGTGAGATTGTTACGGAGTCGGGGGACGGCGTGGGCGCGTTGCTGTCAGAGAATGACGTGGGACAGACCAGATCTTTTGTACGGGAGTTCGGATTGCGGTTTATGTTGTCAGCGCTCGAAGGACGGATCTTGCAGCTAAATGAAGTGGTGTCGGCCATGAAAAAAGGCGTGAAGAATGTTTTCAAGTCGTGGCTACGCAAACCCAAGGACTTGCGCTCGTCTAGTGCCTCGGCGTTAGGAGGCATCGTTTACAAAAACGACTCTATTGAGTCGCAGACCCGCCTTCTGGCCGATACTGCTTTTTTAGTACGCGACTACGAATTGGCACTGCAAATGTATCGTTTAGTGCGTGAAGACTTCAAATCGGACAAGTCTATGTATCATTGCGCCAATGCGAATGAGATGATTGCACTCTGCCTACTTCTGACGAAGGGATCGCCGATGCAGATGACAAATGCTCTTGAGTCAGCCACATCGATTTACGCCCAAACAGCCTCACCGTTGACTCAGCGTCTATCTGTTCGTGTGTCGATCATTGCTGGTGAGATCTACCACACGCTAAGCGAGTCCGGTCTGTTTACGGACTATATGCATAATGCTTCTGCCGCCCTAATTCGTGGTTCAACGATGGAGCAAGGCATTTGTGCAGCAATTCTCACAGAGCGCGCAGCGCTGTGTGATTTACGTGCCCGACTGCCAAAGTTTCGCAAGTATGGGTTTAGGATGGTTATGGCTGGTCACGTGTATGCTTCTTTAGGGCACGAGCAGCGTTCCGCGAGATGCTACTCCTTGGCACGCGCCGTATACGACTGCAATGGATGGTTTCTTGTCGAAGACCACATCAACTTTATGCTCGCGCAGCAGGCGAACAAGATGGACGACCGCATGGCCTCCATCACTTTATTTCTCAAGCTCATCGGCACGGGTCGCAACTCTGCAAGTCAGCAGGAAGCTATGTTGTACGATTTCGGTTTAATGGTCAAGGATTTTTTGTCGTTCGAGCAGGCTGACGCACCCGTGCCTCCATCTTCTCCAGGCGGGCCTAAATTGACAACAAATAGTCGCGGCACGAAGATACTTCTTGTGCAGGATTTATGCATACCTGAGCTGGACGACAAATCGACCGTCGTGTTCTCATCGACCAACGCATTTGGTGTTGACCGATCCATTGATGGCAATCTTGCTAACACGGAAACGTGGCTACAGCTTGAAGAAGTTATCGATAAGCAAAACCGGCTGCACCAATATGTTGCATCCAGTACCACGAACGAAATGAAGAGCTGGTTTGCATCGTCTCACGCGTATGCTGGTTATCGCAGCAAGAAGGATGCTACAAGCGCAAAACCGCAGAACTACGTTGTGGGAGAACAGATCTATGTCGAATTTGTGATGAAAAATGCGCTTTCATGTGCAGTGGACGTGAAAGACATTCATTTATTTGGATCTTTCGAGGCCCTAGACGAAAGCAGGGAAGTGTTTGATGTTCCTGAAGAGCGGGAGTCTAGTGGTCAACGTGTTGTGGTCGACAGTGTAAATCTTCAACTCCTACCGTGCAGTGAAGAACGCGTTCGTGTTGCAGTGTGCCCAAATATTTGTGGCAGACTAAGTCTGACAGGCATCCGATGGTCAATATGTGGCGGGGACGTCCAGGGTGAGCACGCCTTCGATATCCCTGGTCCGCTGCTGCAAGATACGAGAGTGCACCGAGAAGCCAGAGCCCGCGCGCCGAACATGAGTCTTGTCGCCACTGTTGTCGGACCCATGCCATGGCTTGGTGTAAAAGTTGAAGGCGTACCTGCTCAGGCTTATGTTGGTGAGCTCGTGAACCTCGAAATCTTACTTCGCAACTCGGGTGCAGTAGCTCTCTCTGGTCTCCAGGTTTGCTGCACTGACCTGTCGATATGTGCGTCAAAAACGGGTGCTTCTATCAATCTGTGCGGATATATTGGAGCTAGCGGTCACGTCGTTGATCTGAGTGAAGTGGTATTAGCACCCGGAGAAACGAAACGAGTCACGATGTGGGTACGAGGACTTACACCTGGGCGATGTGATGCGGCCTTCCTGTTTAAATACTCGGGGCTGTCCGATGCAGATACAGTGGGTGCTGGCTCGTCACTGGCTCGTACAGTGAAAGTTAAGCTTGATCTAGACTTACTGCCGTGTATCGCCGTGTCTTACTCCATCGAACCGAGCTTTGGTGCTAACAACGAATACATTGTTGGTATCACTGTTGCAAACGAGCGGGGAGATCACGGCGGACTGGTCAAGCCTCTGGATGGAGAAGTTCGATTGAAGGAGCTATATTTTGTAAGCGAATCCTGGGCGATTGAGACTTTGACGCGTCCAGATTCCCAGAACACTATATACGTGCGTGATTCATTGAGTTTGGGCTTTCTCGAAGCTAGCACGACCTACTTTCGCGTGATTCCACGGCCGAGTACTGCTGCAGGTACATTCGCATCGAGCAAGCTGCCTCTTCATTCAGCGCGAAACGGTGTTGATCTGTCTTCAACCTTGCCAATCGAGCAATTCCTATGCCTGGAAAATGCTGGGAACCTCGTCCGCACTGGTGGTGCTGGAAATAATGATGGCTTGGAAAATAATGCGAAACGAGGTGGTGGCTTTCGAACGATTCAAAGCGTGCGGCGAGAGAATAAGGCTATGAAAAGTGCGTCTCCTGGCGACGACAGCGACAAAAAGTTACAACAAGAGTCTCAGCCGACATCGAGAGATGCGTTACTATCTCACCTGACTACGGATGGTCATCTTGTGCTTGTGTGGTCGACCGTTGGCACCTCGATGTCCAGCAACAAATCCGCTGGAGTGGCTTTTCGTCAAGCAATGGGTCAAACTAACCTGATGGCAGTGCAAGTCCGGCCACCACTTCAGAACAGCTCATGCCCGCTGACTGTCACGCTTGGTTACGATACCTCTGTAGATTTGAAGTGCCCAACACATCCTGGGTCGACAGCAACGTGGAGAATTGCGGAATTAGATATCACAATGCGGGTTTCTAACGAATCCTCGCCCAGTTCAGCTCCACTTGATGTCACAGTCGAAATGCTACACACCGAAGAAACCCAGGCCCCATCCGCCACATTTGCATCATTGACGAAGCTACGCTTGATTCCGTATTCTGAGAGACCATCATTGCGTAACGCACCGCGTTTTTTCTGGACTGGAGTTTGCAAGAAGAAGCTGGCGCACTTCTCACCTAACAGTCAAGCGATGATCAACCTTCGGGCTTGCTTCACCGAGCCAGGCATCTACAACCTCAATCGGTTCCGATTCGTTGTGCAATCTACTATACCAAACGGGCAGTCCGCAAGTATCTTCATGATCCCCGCAGAGCATCTCGTGTATGTGAGAAACCCCGAGCGAGTCTCAACCGGGCTTTTACAGACAAAATCCGAGCAAACGATCGATAGCCTGCTTGTGCCGTACGACATGCTTGCGATCTAAATTGCATTCGGCGAAACAGAACGGAAAGTACATCGGAAGTGAGCGTGCGATGATCGTAATAAAAGGTTAAAGTTAGTGCACGTGCTAACGGGTGAATAAACGTGCACGCGCGTCAAGTCATCGTTGCGATGCCGCCATCAATCGTGTATACTTTTGCTCGATGAGGCGGATCTCTTCGTCGTCTGAATCGAACTCCGGAGTCTCACTCAAAAACTTGATTCGAGGTACGCAAAAACTGTGGAAATCCAGCGGTGGCGTTGTGAAACAACCGCCGTGGTGGTCGACGAAGCCTCCGACCTTTCGAAGATAGGTGTCAGGCAATAAAAGGCGCTCCACAGCCTTCGCTGGGCTATCTTCATTGTATCCTACAGACCCCATTCCGCTTTTGCCAATGATACTGAAAGCTTGCTCGTCCAAGTCGCCGTCAACTTTGTCGACAGATATATTGGATGCACCCGTGATGCTGTCGGCACCGTCATGTACATCAAACTCGTTTCCACTTGATTTGTCCACTTCGGCGTTGGTGTCGTCAACTTGAGCTGCTGCTGTGTTATCATTCCCTGCATCCGTATCAGATTTTGGTAGCTGAGACTGGTCCAAGGCTTGCGTATAAACGTCTACCTGTTCGCTATCGAGCGTCCTCTTCCGATTTCGTGTAGAGCTGAATGCTGAATGCTGTTCGCCCACCAATGATGAAGGAAGCGACGATAAGTCGGCTGCAGAGTCGCAGCTAATTGATGACAAGCTCAAAGAGCTCAACGAAAGGTCCTTGTTACCTCTCTCTTGCATATCAACGTCGTTGTCACGAGTGCAGATGGACCATTCGTCAAGGAATGAACCATTGCAACTTCGTCGGGGAGTAGTCGACACTACCGGAAACTGGGAGCCCAAGTGATGATTTTCGTGTCTGCTGGATGTACCGGTTACATTGAAGACATTAGCTACCGCCCCGGTGCCGGAAGTACTCGCATCAGAAACGTAGCCGTCATCCGCGCTTGAAGTAGATAGTACCCCTCTCTTAGTCCCGTTGTGAGTTACATTCAGAATGCGCCTCATTTGAACAATCTGCTCTTGCATCTCGTGTAGCTGCCGCTGTTGATTTTCAAGAATTTGCTGGTGCTGGATTGTCAGTAGCTGCTGGGTTTTGCAGCAGCTCCGATTGTTGCTAGGACTCTTATCCACCCGATCACGCTGGGCAGCATCGTTCGTCTTGTCCGGCGTGGTCAAACAAGGAATACGTTCAGCAACTTGTGTACAGGTAGCATCATGTAAAGCATTTGGCGGCATTGCGGTATGCGTTTCAGAGTCAGAAACGAATGTCCGATTGCACGTTTCCTTCTCACCTTGTACCCCAGTCTGACTCTGTGCATCCGGGTCTGGGACAGCAGTCTTACGAATGGCATCTGATGTTACAGTCCAACCTCTCGTCATGCTTTTGTGCTCATCTTCATCATCAATACATTGCGATTTATTCTGTGACCTCGGCAAAGAGTTACGTGAAGTGCTGCAAGCAGATAATTGAGGCTCACAAGGCCCTGCACTTTCGCCTTCTTTCGTGTACACAATCGCTGGAATGTTCGCTTGACATGCAGCTGCTTTCCACTCACTTGTTGGTGCAGCAGACAACGTCAGCTCCAAATCGGACGAGAACTTCGACACTCCAACGAAGCACGATCGCCGTTGCGAAAATAGCTCCAAAGGAAGAAGCCGTGTTGAAAGAGACAAGGACTCGGAAAATGCACACTCGAAAAAGCGCGGCAGCAGTCCAACCGTACTGTCAGTATCAGAGTTATCAGCAGGATATAGTGCCACCAAAAATGTGTTCATCCGAGGCCCGACACGTTCTTTGATCGTCTCCGACATCAAGTAACCAATGCAGGCAAAATACAAAAGCGGATCAGCCAGCTGCCGCCGCGCCGCCTCCTCATTCCATGCATCATCGATGTGAACACCGTACACCCAAACACCGACGAGCGGCTGCTGTGAAACGAGCGGGTCTACCTTCAGCAGAGGCACCGCCTTGCGGGTTTGATCGAGTGTAAGATATCCGGATCGCAAACTTCCAGTCTGAGTACTAAATTCACGCTTCGATAAACTTGCTGCAAGCGGGGTCATCAAAAGCGGTAAGTTTCGTATAAGCGAGAACTCAAACAGCACCGGCGACGCAACACATTCAAGCTGAAAATCGAGCTGCGCGGCATGAGGTGACAGCTGAGATACCAGCAATTTAGGCTGAAGTTTCGAGGAAAGACTGTCAACATAGTCATCACGATAACTATTCAGGGCAGACGCAATGGTCGACACATAATTCTCCTGCGTCTGTCCGAGAGCATTCTTCGCAGCAACTAGATATACCGGGATACACCAAGTGCCCGCAGCACATGCGTCCTCCTTCTTAAGCTTCACTCCTTCCAGACGCACTCGCTTTATCCTCGGCGACGTCGCTTCTCCGTGCAAGAAACACAACACAGCACCACTTCTGTGCAACGTGCCTCTTTTGTTTTCTCGACACAGCTTGTAAATTTCCTTCAATGCCTCTGCTGACACACTAAATTGCGGCAAAACGTGCTCCAACGAGACAATCACGGGTGTATCCGACAGCCGCCGTCGATCCCTGAATATTGCAACAGCAGAAACACCACTCAACGTCTACAAAAAATACCCACACCACCCCTAATTCTCCGCTTAAGTACGTACCAGAGTACCGACCGTGTCACTGGGAACTGGACCGCGTCCACACGAAGCCTCAGACCGTGACTCGCACTATTCTGCCATCCTTTGCTCCGTCTTCGATTGCTAAAACGACTATATGAACCAATAGAGTGGTCCATTAATCCAGAAGTCGGCCGTGAGACGTCGTCGTCGGTCGTGTCGGAGAAAAAGGCAGAGGTCGGGAAGCGACGACGTGAAGGCCTGGCCCTGTCGCTGCTGCTGCTGTTGGTGGCATCAGCTACTGCAAAGAGACGTGCACGAGGTTGTGGACGGCGCACAGACGGTGAGATGGTCTGGTCGCTGTCCTGTAGCTCGTCGTCGAACTGGGCGAAGAGCCCGTGGCTGCGCATGCTGGTCGCTTTCGGTGTTATTATTGTGATTGTGGTTGGGGTTGCTAGACTTTTATCCAATGCAGAGGGCGCCTTTCGTTTGAACCTATCTATGATTGGTGGAAACTATCTCTTTTGACTTGCGACTTGTTTTGACAAACGGTGTTCGCAGAAGCATCGTCGTGTGATTCGTTTCGTGACACTGTCATCGGTGGTAAACATTTACCAATCTACTCGACCGTGTTAAACTTACTGAGCCGCAGTAACTACAAGCCCAATTGTCTCCTCGCCAATCTTCGAAATGCCACACACGTCACAGAGCGTGCCTTTGCTCGCTGAGTGGTACACAGCAGCACAGTACGGACAGCGCACCTCTGGCTCGCCCAAGTAGATTGGCGTGAGGTTGCGTGCGTCCAGCGCAAACGGTTTCGAGTCCTGGTAGTCCACGGCGTGCTCGTTGCGAGCCTCTTTTTCTGCTTTCTGGAGCACTTTGCGAGCAGTCAGACGCAGCTTCTCGTGCCGAGGATGCTGTGCGACCTCTGGAACCTCTAGCAGCCGTCGACAGAACGACGCTGCCGAGATGAAATTGCCAGCCTTGAACGCATTTGTCATTGCAATCTTCAGTGTCAGCACCAAATGCGGTAGCTGCAGTTCGCAGTGCGTGAAGTACGCGCTCAGCTCAATGTTGCGCTTCGGGTTGCTCTCCAGCGGCACAGCGGCGACCTCAGCACGGACGCGACAGGCAAGCAAGTACTCACGACATACCGTGAGCAAGCCCTTTACCTTCTCAGCTTCTTCCTTTGAGTCCACAGCCAGGAACGGAATTGCATACAGGATCGTCTGACAGTGTGTCTTCACATCGTCGAACTTGGCGCTCGTAAACGAACGGTAAGCTTGCTTGAGCTCTTCGACAAGGGCTGCAAACGAGATCACGACCGCAGATTGGCTCGCATCGTTCCGCTGCAACCACACCTGCAGTGACGGGCAGTTTCCCTGCGTCGGTAAGCAGACCGATCCACCCGAAAACACCTGAAGAAACACAGGCTTCAGAGGCTCAAAGTTAATGACGCCAATCTGACGGTGCAATAGTTGCATTGCTGTCTGGAATGACCCGGCAGCAGCGTGGTCAGCCACCAACGATGAGTTGCGCACCCATTGCACAGCAAGACTTGTGCCAACCGTAGGAGCTGCCACGAAACCAGCGTCTGTACTGAGACCAGCGAAGTCGTTTTCTAATACAGCGGAATCCGTGACTAGCGACTGGCCGTCAGCCGTCAGTGCATCGTCCAAGTCGAGGTCTCCATCCATGTCCCAAGCATCATCGGCACCGTCGACGCCATCGAGCACCAACTCCATCGACGACTTGCGGGCTGGGCGTTCCTCCACTAAACGATGACCCTGACTCGGTTGCTGTGGTTGTAGACTGCGCTCAGCTTCCCGCTTCTCAGCGGCAATCGCGTGGTCTTGAATCGTAGGCTCGTTGATCTCCACCAACGCCCAATTCTCATTCTCCAAACGGCTCACAGACAAGGGCGGAGATAAGAGCGTAGGATTCGGCAGCATCTCGCGCGCCAAGAAAGCATCCACATCAAAGTCTGGGTTCGTCTCTTGCAGTTGTACACGCAGTCTCTCTACGTGCTCAGTGAGGCCGTGAGTGGCTGCTGTCAATAGCGCCAGACCGAACTGGCCAGCAGACTCTAGCGTCATCACGCGGACCTCAACATCGCCAATGTACAGCGCATTGTGAAAGCGCGCCATGATGTCATTGCGCACTTCAGCAATTTTCAGCATCTTCTTAAGCTTGTCACGGTTGCCAGTGACCAGATAGAGGAAACTCAGGCGCTCAAAGTTCTTCGTGCGCTGGTAAGCCATTTCTACGACCTGAATGTTACCTTGGCGAAGAGCTTCCACTCCCAGCTGGTACCAGCACTTGCTGTCATCTAACTCATAGGCCGAATTCAGTGCAACCTCTAGGTTACCACACGAAATGGCCAGCTTGAAACGAGTCTTTTCGTCATTGACAAAATGCAATGCAACCTCTGGGTAGCCCTTTTTCGTCAGGTACGAGATAATAGCTTGACCGCACAACCTCGAGTGGCGCACCATACGCATCACTTCTGTGTAATTCTTTTTATTCAGTGCGATCTTAAACTCGCACTCCGTGAGGTCAACAGCCATCGTGCGCATCTTGGCATCGCGGTCAAGGCAGTAGAGCTTCGATCCTTCGAGGTGCGTCAGGTAAACAGGTACATCCAAGGTGCGAATGATACCAGCGTCACCATTAGTCAGTGAGTACTTGATGTGATTGAGCGTGGTGTAGACGAAAATCTCCGCAGGGGCATTAGCCCAGATACCGCTCTTGATTCGCACCGACTCGGTGATAGTACACAAGTGAGTAAGCTGCTTGTCTGCAAGCACGATAGAGTGTTTGCTGATCAGAGCCACGTATTCGTAGTTAGGGCTCCAAACCACATACTTCACGCGCCACGCCTGAACGTCAGCTAGTACACGACGGCTCTGGGTTTCGTAAAGGACCATCTTGTCGTCAATATGAAGCAGCACGCGTCCCACCACACCACCGAAATACATTCCATGTGCCGTGCCATTGGGCGGTGTAATCTTCTTTGTCACTTCATTCTGGAAATTCTTAATCACAATGTGACGCGACTTGTCCAGGACAGCAAAGCGGTTGCGGGCCACGAATACGGCAAACAGTCCTGGTCCTCGGCTCGACTCTGATGTGTCGCCATTTGAACCCTGTGAAAACGTCACGAGCTCATACAAACCGCCCTCAGCATCGCTCGTCATTATCACGCTGCTGGTGCCTGAGTTTTGGTCATAGGGGTTGTAAGTAAGATTACGTGGCAAGCTGCCGGTACCTGCTCCTGCGGTGCCTGTGCGGCGCACTGCTGCCACCGGTACATCGCTGCTATCGATGAAGGAGTACATACGCACGTAGCGCTCTTTGACATAGTACGCACGGGCGTCGTGGATATCCATGGCTGGGCGTTCACGCTCTAGTTTGAACACAATCATGCCCGAGTCATGGCCAGCAGCCAGTAAATTTTGCGAGGGGTGGGCCGCAAGCATCCAAAAGCGGTCGTTCTCACGACGGAAGGTCTGCAATCCCATGCGTTTCGAGATATCCCACACACGAATCGATCGGTCTTCGCTGTTGGAGATAATCAGCTCCTGACGAGGATGGAACAGCACGCACGAGATGTTGTTCGTATGTCCCCGCATCGTGTCCACTTCCCACGCTTTGGTTTCATTCATCCTCCATAGCTTCACTTGACGGTCATCAGCCCCCGAGACAATCAGCGGTAACGTCGGGTGAAAACTGGCCCAATTGACGCCGCGGTCATGACCTTCGAGCACGTACTTGACGATCGCATCGCTGGCTCCAAATATGTCGTGGTTGTTCGAGCGCGACGTAGGCGGCGCCACCATGTCATCCAATGCCGTAGGTGCGCCTCGCACTGTCTTTTTACGGAGACCCGTTGTGTCCCAGACTCGCACAGTCTGATCCAGCGAAGCCGAGACGATGAGATCGTCTTTCGGGTGAAATTGGGCGCGCATGACGTAGTGGTTGTGGCCCGTAAGGATGGACACACATGAGCGCGACTGCCAGTTCCAGATACGAATGGTCTGGTCGTCACTACAGCTCAAAATCCACGGATATTCGTGGTGGAACTGTACCGTACGGATGTAATCCAAGTGGCCCAGCAACGTGAACAGACAGCGACGCAGCTTAAAGTCCCACACTTTGAGCTTGTAGTCATCACCTCCCGATACAAAAAGAGGCTGCGATCGATGGAAATCGACGCCACGAACGGGGCCGTCGTGCTCGTCGAAACGCTCTAACAGAGTGCCCATCCGGTAGTCCCATAACTGGATCACGCCGTTGTGCAGCGACGTGAGGATCCACGGACGACTCACATGGAAGGCCAGCCCCTTCACGCGGTTGCTCTTGGACTCGAACTTGGTCAACATGGTACTCGAACGGCTGCAGCGTCAGACACGAGGACGTGGCGCCGGGGCAGGGGCGAAGAAGATCTCGAGGCGACGAGTTTATGTGGCGGGAGTCGTTGGCGGCTTTCGATTGGACGAAAAGAGACGATTTCGGCGACGGTCTTAGAAATCCGCGATTTATGTCGTGTACACGAATTACCTGCGCTTGGGTCTTTTGTCTGTGACGGTTGTCAACGTCGTCATTCTTTGGTTGACTGTTGATGGGTCACGCATGTGTAAAATCGCTATTAGAGCTTACTTCCCTGAAACGGCTGCTGCCATACGCGCTGCTCCTTCTCAACGTAGTCCTGCAACACTTTTGATTCGAGTTGAATTGCCTTCACGTCGTTGTACGGCAGCAATAGCAAATATGTCGATGTCTCGGCACGGACGGTGAACGCTACCGGCTCATCGTTCAGTGATTCACGTTCCCCAAACGTCTGGCCCTTGGATAGTGTATATGAATGCACGGAATGCACGCGTACTGTTCCTGACCTGTATGAGAAAGTCGCATTGAATACGAGACGTAAGTCCTTGCACAAACCGACATTCTGTCAAGCACACATCATACACAATAAAGTAGATTGCCGCGGGCAGCGATCCGCGTGCATTGATCACTTCGCCGGCTTGAAAAACTTTGGCGAACAGTGGCGTGTTCCGCTCGTCCTTTAAGCGCTCTAGTTCTACAAGCACAAAAAAAAGAAAATGCGGCAAGAATGAGTTGAGTAAAGCGATTCCGCGAGCGTACCTCTGCATATTGCTAGTCTCACCATCCAAGATGGCGCTGTCCGCCGACCAAAAAAGCCGAGCTGCTGCAGGCGATACAGCTGCAAGAGACCCACGCTTGTATGACGCAGAAGTTGCGTCAACGGACATCATACAGTAGCGGTAATTAACCATCATGCCTAACGCTGACGTCAAGGCTGATGGGCTGCTATCAGCCATGAAGTTTATTTGCTCGACCTGAGCACCGTTTTGAAGATGAAAGTTTGCCACGGGATCCAAGATCTTGTCACGCTTTCGCTCAAACAGAACATAGCGAGCGCAGGCGGTTGTTATAATATCACGAATATTCTCCAGTAGCTCAACTTCTTTGTGCCACTCAGGCTCACTGATTTTGTGTAACAGCCATTTGTGTAGCCCGAGCTGGTTTGCACCGTATCGTATCGAAAGACGGTTCATTTGTTCTGCCGTAAAAAAACTCCGTTGACAGCGTTCCAGGTGCTGCAGTTTTGAATTCCTGTCGTGCTTCGTTTTCCAAGGACTCTTGGCATCGGAAAGTCTCTGTGACTGCTGATCGCCGTTAGCAAGTGCAGCCTTAAACCATTCTGCAAAACCCGGAACAGGTGATAACGTTGCAGCCACCGAGCACTGCGGAAACATACTGATCATACGTTGGATTGTCAAGAACAACAAGTGGCTTGCAATGTTCAGTCCTCGAAGTCCAGTATTCGATGTTGAAACTGAGTAGAAAATGATGTGAGAAGGATTCTTCACCACCGGAGTTTCTTGCTCTAGAATAGGAGCGATGCTGTTGCACAAACCGTCCATCACTGCCACCTGCACGAAGACCAGCGGAGCACGGGGCATGTGCATATGGAATAGACCGAAGCAGTAGCGTTGCCGTCCGACCAGTCTGCGCCGGAGATCGTTCCAGCTCCGGACTTGATGCACTCGCTCGTTTTTCAGCACGAATGCAGCGAGATCCTCCGACGACAAGTCAATACGGTGAAAACGCATGCTACCTTGCGTTGCAAACAAGTCCCGCATGATCAGATCCAAGAGTTCCAGCGCTTCCACACTGGCTGTTGGTAGTTCGTGTCGATTGCGCTCGATCAAAGCACCCAAATCAACTCTCAAATTGAGCAGAAATAATGGACCAGGCTGTATCGTACCGACCAACAAGAAGAATTGCTCTGCAAGTGGCACGAGCCCGCGCTTAACGCTTTTGGATATGTTTGGGTGGTTCTTGCGACTAAAGCCCAGCGCCGCGGCCGTCACGTTGAGCACCAAGCCGGAACGCTTGATAGAAGGCAGCGTCTTCATCATCCGAGCCAGATCGCGCACGCCCAGATCCACTGCGAGTGCCAGCACGAGCTCCAGCTTCTGCTTCTCTGTAAACACCTTGTAGTCCTCACACAAGCGCAGGGCAAACTCTCTGCGGTGTTTCAGACCAATCACAAAGCCATCGCTTACGTCTGCATCCAGGAGCGCCTACACATGGAAAAGTAGACATGACGAACAAATACTTTTGAGCAGCGTGTTGCGTGAAGTAGCAAAGTAACGTGATCGATCCTGCCCACCTGGATCTGCTTGGTAAACTCGGCGCGATTAAAGCACACGGTCTCCACAGAAGAGTTGCGGCATTCGGGACTATTTCGCTCTACACGCTCGGCATCTCGGTGTTTCAGATGCGTTTGTACCCATTCGTCGTCTCCATGGAACGGTAGAGGTCCTATATTCGACGCTGTAGCCGCTACATGCATCGGTCGACTTGGTGCGATAAAAATAAATTAATGGATACACTCTCGACTCCTTTTTGACTTCCGCCAAATAGTGAAGTTTCACTTTGTCATGCTCAGAAGTAACGATAACGAAAAGTAGCTCAGTGAGTCTTTTTTATTGTCATTATTCGCAAAAAGACCATGGGCGACGACCGCAAGGGCATCTACTTTGGCGCCATTGACGCTAGCGCTAGCGACGGGCAGGCACGTCTTGCCAGTGATGCGTCCACTGTGACCGCCAGCGGTGAGGTAACCATCCGTGTGGGTAACGTGAACGTGTCGGACGCCGTGGAGACTGAAGTGCTGGAGTTGTCCGAGAGCAGTCGCGCCGCCCAGGAGAAGCACGCGCAGCTTTTGCGACGCGTTGAAGCAGAGAAGCGCGCGCGGAATGTCTCAGTGCCTACAGTGGTGGAAGAGGTTATCCGAAGGTTGCGGCAGCTTGGCGAGCCGGTTACGTTGTTTGGCGAGCGACCAGCGGATCGTCGCGAACGACTGCGCGATATTTTGTCGCGACTGGACGTGGAAGCAGAAGAGAATGGCTATGTCCGTCAAGTTTTTGGAGACATTGAGAAGCAGGAGATTGCAGCAGACGCTGCTGGCGACGAGAGGGCTGCAGGAGCTGGAGAGACTGCTACTGGTAAACTCTCGAAGGCTCACGAGAGTCAGCTGTTTTATGTACCGCTTACGAACGAGAAGCTGAAGAAGGTGCGGGCTACTATTTTTGCGCACGCTTCGAGTGCAACAGAAGCTCGGCTGAAGCGAGAGAGACAGGGGAGGAGTATGAGTGCGGAAGAGCGAGCCCGGGTTGTAGATCAGTACGCTGCAGGGCTTTACTCTACGGCACAAAAGATGGCGAACGTTGCAAGTCAGAACGGTGATGTGCGTCCAATTTCGGCCGTGAGGTTTTCAGCTGATGGTGGACATGTGGCCACGGGGTCTTGGAGTAGTCTGGTTAAGGTCTGGGATGCAACGAATGCTAATGAGGTCAAGGTCTTTCGTGGACATGAAGACCGTGTGACTGGAGTGGCGTGGCATCCGACCAAGACCTTTTCTGAGATGACGGATAGCGAAGATTCCGTCTGTCTGTGCAGTGGCTCAGCTGACGGAACTGCAAGGCTCTGGAGTGCGGGTCGCAATGAGCCTTTGGCTGTGTTGGAGGGTCATAAGGCAAGGTTGGGCAAAGTGGCTTTCCATCCGCTTGGCGACTACGTTGGCACAACAAGTTTTGATCACACATGGCGTCTTTGGGACGTTGCTACAGCAAAAGAACTGCTTTTGCAAGAAGGTCATTACACGGAGGTGTATGCCATCGCATTTCAAAAAGATGGCGCGTTAGCAGCAACAGGCGACTTGGACGGGAACGGGCGCGTGTGGGATCTACGGTCTGGTAAGGCCGTATTGCCCTTGCAAGGACATTCCAAGCAGATTTTATCCATGGACTTTGCTGCTAACGGTGTACAGATTGCGTCGGGCAGCGATGACCGCAGTGTTCGTATCTGGGACCTAAGACAGCAGAAATGCTCGTATATGATCCCGGCTCACAGCAAGCTAGTGAGCGACGTCCGCTTCTCACCTGCATCGAGTGAGCTCTTGCTGAGTGCGTCATATGACTCGTCCATTAAGCTGTGGAGAACGCGTGACTGGAAACTAATGACAACAATGCGTGGACATGACGGCAAGGTCATGTCGGCTGACTTTGCTCCAGACGAGAAGCATCTGGTGTCTTGCGGCTCTGATCGAACTTTCAAGCTATGGGCCCACGAGAATGAGTTCTAAGGTGGGAGCCGAGTCAAAGTGTCCACTCGCCAGAACCCAGTCACTATATAGACTTTACCGGCACAATGACATGAGAACTTAGAGCCTTTGACGATTTCGAGTATGATGCACTTGGCTTTTGAGCGGACCCACTGATGCTCGTTTGGATGTGCTGCTAACGAGCGTCGGTAAGTTTGCCCTTGTGCTACCATTTTTCTATGCAAGCATCATGGTCACTGTAGTAGCGACATTGCCAGCATCCATCAGCAAAAGGTCACCGAAAGCGCAGCGACTCTTGGTGGTAACAGAGTTATTTCGCTGCTTGAAAATCAGCCAAGCGAGATGTCGAATTCGACGGTGGCAGTAGGATGAGTGTAACCTGCGCAATTGCCCGGTATGCTTCCAGTGCAATCATTGTGTCTGTTGTGTTTGGGATACTACAGGAGCATCAGTTCGTGAAGATAGGACAATTTTTGAGCTAGAACCTCAACATCATCTTGTCTTTAAACAGCTTCATCACATGGCCGTGTCTACCAAGACACGTATGTAACTCAGCCTCGTACTGCCGATCAGCGTGGCTGACAATTGGTGGAAGATGCATTTGTTTTTTTGCTCACAGGGTTGAGATGAGGAACGAGGTGGGTGAGGGGAAGAATCCGGTGTTGTCTCACATTTTCTGTTGCGCGAAAGCGCACTCGGAAATCTATTGATCAAGAAATCAGCGAAGGTGGATAAGCTGGCACTTGAGGTATGGCTTCCGTGCAGCAACAGGAGATCGCGATCGCGTATATTGTACACCCAATTTGTCATTGTTGTCACATCCTAATAACATATTGTTGGTGATGTCATAACCATCATTGCAGGTGCGCAGTTTTGAAGAAACCGATGCAGATGCCAGCGGGTTTGCTTGGAATTCGGCGGAGCACGTTCGTTCGGTTGATGGTGACTGGGTGTATGTGGGAGGCACAAACCCAATTTGTCGATGCATGCAGTCATTGTCACGAACGGTCAAGGTTTCTGCATAGTGCATCTTTATTTCAAGCAGCTTCAGCGGCAGAAGGGATCTATAGTTCTACACGAGTTCTGGAGAGCCTGGAGGTGAGACTGAAGTTTGGCATCAGCTTTTCGCGGCAAATTGCAAATCATCACCTGGATACATCTCAGTCCTGTAACTTTGTGTCAAGCTGCACCGGTATAGCCACTAATGTGCGCAAGCGCATACACGTGAGGGGGGGGGGCTATGCCGGTCGGTTCATCGCTATTAGTTGTCGATGCTGAAAGCGATGGATGCTTTTTTTGACGCGCCAACAAGCTTTATCGAGGACAAGCGACCGGCAGGAATGACCATACGCATATGGAATTATTGCTTACTCACAGTCGTTTGTCGTCGTTGTTGTTGCAGTACGATTCCGTCGCTTTACCTTCACCAGCACGTTCCAAAGAATCTGGATAAGCTTGTCAACGGTCATACTGAAGATCCCTGTGCCATCACTCGACTCATGAATCTCTAGCATAACTCTTCACTGTCACGGACAACGGCAGATACAAAGATAAATGCAAATGAGGATGAGGACGACGGGCAGCAAACATGCATGTGGGTTTCAGAACGAAGAAATGTCATTCATAGCGTTCGCCCAGGCTGGAGAAATTGGTCTCACCGCATCTTGGGCTATGCAGATATGCTGCAGCGTCATGCAAGTAGTGCCTCCGGTGCGGACAGAAACATGAAGACGGATGGGTACATCTCCCATGTCATAGTACGGGAAAACCACACAAGTAGGAAAGATGAAGACTGGGTGTCGGTCCAACGGACTCACTTGACTCGAACGGTAGTTGCTGTAGATGTCGTTACTTTGGCGGTTTGGACGCGCACATGATGTAGTTGACATCGGTGCACGTCGGATGTATACGCCAGCTTCGAAAGATCGGATCACCCACGATTCCTGACACGTCCTGCACGGTCAGACCATCTTTCCTCAATTCTGCCTCAATCTCCTCGGGCTGGACAAACTTGTTCCAGTCGTGCGTCCCTGGTGGGATGACTCGCATCACGTATTCCGCAGCTCCGATAGCAAGCGCAGCTGACAGCAGCGTACGGTTGATCGACGATATGAAGAGCAGACCACCCGGCTAAACGAACCACAGCAACATTCCAGTGTTCTGTAAGAGACAACCCCAAATCTCAACTTTACAGTGAAAGCACTAGCATCGCTGGTAGACCCACCTTGACCAAGGGTGTGAGCGAGTGCAAGAACGCCGGCACATTGGCCACATGCTCGACAACTTCCAGCGAGCACACGACGTCAAACTGCTCTCCTTGTGCTACTAGATCATCTGCAGTGCATCACAACAAACAAGAGCGTCAAAGTAAGACCCACCGTATCTTTTAACTAGTACCCACAATAAACAAACGTCCTTGGCAACGCACCTGACGTGCAGAGACGGTAATCAATCCTGCTCGTGTGCCGACTCATTGCAGCATGTTGTCTCGCTGCCGTGATGTTGTCTTCCCCCGGGTCAACAGACACCATTGTGCCTCCAATGCGACACAATGCTTCGGACAGGATACCTCCACCACAGCCGATATCAGCCACGTTTAGTCCACGCAACGGCGCGGGATCGCCGTCCGTTGAGTGTCCAAAGTGCTCGACTGTGTGGCCTCGAATGTACTTGACACGCACAGGATTTATCTGATGCAGAAGTCCCACGCCGGTCGTGCTGTTAGGCGCCCACCAATCACTGTATACAACCAGTCACATGGACACATGAGACATGTGGGCGCTACGTACGGAACAAAGAGACTGATCACGACAACGTACGAGGCCACGGCATTGAATTTACGCACTTCGTCCTTGACGACAGTGGACACTGCGCGAGTGAGACGCCACGGCAGCGCGCTCGGCAGCTTCAAGGCGCGAGGAGGTAACGACATGTGACGACTCGCTGCTGATCTTTCGGGTGGCTACTTGGTGTATACGCGCGGGTATACGCAGTTTGTGTATCCATGTGTAAGAAACGAGTCTTTTCACGGATGTGGTTGTCGACAACAACGGCCCAATTCAGAGCCAGGTGCCAATATAGTGTGTGCCACTCCAACTTACCCGCACTCGGGTCATTTTGGTGATTTTTTTTTGCACTTGCCAAAATGAGCCACAACGTCGGCAAGACTGGGGAGGCCGCGCTTCAATTGAAGCGCGCGGCGGAAGAGAGCAAGGATGAGCGAGAAGTCAAGCACTTGCGTACGGACCACTGGACGACAAGTATGATGCAGAGCAGTGCGATGGACGACGCTGCAACGCGAGCGATGTTCGATCGTCCACAGGAACACCAGCCGAACAACTTTCAGCCAATGATGTCGTCGCTTCCAATGTCATTGCAGCATCCTGTCAGCTCTACGGTGCCAAGTATTAATAATATGCAAAGGGAAAATACGCAGATGCAGAGACAGCAGGAGCAGCAGTACGCTGCAGCCATGACAGGTACGGCGCTGTATCCCGATGCTTGAATAGCATCCTTTTAGTAGTTCTGACTGAACTTAAGTGCTTGTGTAATGCATCTGATTGCCCTATTGTAGCTCAGTGTAATATCCAGCAACAGCAGCAGCAACAGCAACAAATGGATGCAGATTCGGCGACGATGACGGGTCAGCAAACGTCGTTGGGTCAGCTGAATCCTGTGACATCATCTATGGATTCTGTAGAACAGATGCAGCCGCAGGTTCACTTGCACTCCGATGTAGATATGCACGTGGCTCCAGCACTTGGACATCAAGCAGTGGACTTTCACGTGAGCACGTCGAGTGGGGGGTCTGCACAGCAGCAACGGATGCCAGCAGCATCAGCTGCTCCTGTTTCTGCTCAGATGTCTATAAACTCGGGTGTAGCTGCAACTCCTGCTGAAACAAACGCATCTTGTCTTATGTGCGGAAAGAAAGGTAGTGTCTTCACTTGCAACGGTGGCTGTGGGCTCCAAGTACATCGGACGTGCATTGGCGAGGATGCTATTTTTCCGTTCATCGGTACGAGGTGTTTCTGACGTGATCAAAAGTCGAATGGTCACTTATTTCACCCTACGGTGGTTGCTTGTGACTGATCTAGTTGGCCAGCTTTGCGGAAGTTGCTTTATTGCTCAGCAAAACCGCGCCTCTCCAGAAGATCTGACAAAGGGAGGACCAAATGCACTGTCGGTAAGATACAAGACGCTGCGACTGTCGTATGCTAATTGTCAGTACTGACCGCTCTTTGTGCCTTATCTTGGTAGGTCCGGAGAGCAATCTTGTGCTTGAACTTAGAGACCAACAGTAGTGCGAACTTTGATAAATTTGGTCATTTAGCATCACTGCGACTGGGAGAAATTGGTTTGGTCGGTAGTGCGTACTGACGAGACGTTGGAGAATGCACTGCTGACGCCGTGCTTGTCGATCCTAGATTGCAGGTTATCCGATTAAACCGTTTGCTGACAAGTTTGTCGAGCCTTATTTGCAAGTAAGTTTTTGCTGACAATTCGGTTCATCCTAAGTGACTAAAAAATGTATACATTGCTTGTAATCACGAACTTCGTATCTGTCTACAGCGCTGGATACGAGAAAAGCTAACATCCACTGACAAGTGGATGTTGAACGTGCGCGATGTTTTTACCGTGATGATTGGCCTTTACAGGTAATGCTGTTTCGCTATTTCGCTCTACCTTCTATGCGCTATAATTTACTGACAAATTGTCGTTTATTATCTGTGACACCATAAGCTTGAAACGAGCCTGTCTTGCTCATGGGTTCCACGACAAAGTAATCAAGTTGATGAAAGCTCGCAACTTCACGGTAATGGATTACTTTGGATGGCATCCAGCTATTGAAGGCCCCGATACGCGGTGTTCGAGCCTGTGTGCTGTCTGCGGAGTGCGCAATGCGCCGAATCTTGACTTGTGTTCGCGCTGCCACCACAAGCTTGTATTCCCAACAACATTTACAAAGTATGTCAGCACTCTACTTGCTGCATTCTATGCAGGTACGCCAATCGCTTTTTTGCTAGTATTCTACTACCGTAGTTCAATGCGCTGTGTTTGTTCCTGCGCTCACAATATTTTTGTCCCATAGAAGGAGTAGGGATTCCGCTCGGAGCATCGACGCTGGACGTCTTTGCGCATACCAACATGGTGCGAGGGCTATACAAAGGACTTCTACCATTCGACGCTGACGGTGTCGTTTGGGATCTGTTCACTGACCAGTTGAGTACTTGTTCTTATGCACGACCAAGAGAAACAGCGAGTTGATTGCCATGGTTTGTATCTGTGACTAATACGTGTGATTCCCATAGGTTGCGGATGATTTTTGGCTTTCTGGATATCACGAGCAATTTTGGCACATTGCAGCTCAATCCAGATTTGTTTGTGCCAGAAATCAACATCATCTTCACTGCTGCGTATGTGAATCAAGCTATGATAACTAACGAGTTTGAGGTAGTGGGAAAGTTTCTTCAATGCATGAAGCTGTTCGGTTTCGCCAAGTGCATGGAGAATAAAAACATGATCGAGTCATGCGAGCGCTATCTGTTGTTTAAGCACCTTCCGGATGGAAGCTGGTGCAAGATGAATGGCTCGACGGTAGACCGGTACAAGGCTACTGTCACATGCTCAAAGTAGGTCACTTAAAAGGCTATGCGTTAGTGTTTTGCCTCACGACGTATTATTGCATATTCTTGTGTCCTAGAGCGCTCCTCACCCCAGAATTTCGCGGGTACGGCCCGACGTCGCACGATTTCCAGCAACTCTTGGAAAAGTGGGCTCGAAAATCATCACCTAAAGGTGCCTCTGCTGGGCGAAACCAGTCCGAGAGTACTGCGAAGCCAAAGGTGCTAGTATCTGGAGCGATCGTGAAGGCGAATACTCATTTGAGACTCAGGCGTCTTGAGGCAATGTACAAGGTACGCTGCTAACAACAGGACTTGCTTTGTCTGCTTTGTATTTACCAACGACTGATGTTGGTTTCACGATCGAATTATCAGCGGCAGATTGTTCCAAAGGGACGCCAGGCCTCGTTGGAGTCTCTTATGACTGAGAGAATGAAACAGCTCTTGAAGGCCAAGGTAAATGGCACTTTTGAATGTTTGGACCAAGCGATATCTGAGACGGAGGCAATTATTTTTTCGGAATTGGTGTGTAGAATCTTGAAATGCAATCAAAAGCAGGAACGAGCGCAGACGAGAACAATTCTAGTAACGAGGGAACCGAGTCTCCTCACGCCGGATCTGAGCTACATTCGAACAAAGAAGATCATCCGATTGCCGCTGATGGCAATACTGATTCAGAAGACGTTAAATCTGATCATCCGTCAAGCGGCTACGATCTGAGCTGCACTGTAGTCTCCGCGGCGAAGAACCAGGATGAAGAGGATATGCTCACGAGCATGAGTTTGCACGAAGACCTCGAAATCTTTGACGGCCTGCAATTTGAGGACGGCGGTGGGATCATTGACATGAGCTTCCATCCGTTGGGGCCTCATGGAGCGGTCGGCGCAAATAAAACAGAACAAGCAGTAGAGGATGCTGACGGCACAGACGCGCCTGGACAAGATGATGACGAGGATGAAGCAATGGATGACAATGTGTATGACGACGACGAAGACGAAAACGAAGATGGCACTATCGATGTGGATGGCACTACCGATGTGGATGGCACTGACCATGTTTTGGATGAGGGCGCTTCCCGTCACGAGTCATGCATTGCGGCGGTCGACAATGGCGGTGCAAGCACAGATTTCTCTTCTGGAATGTGAATAGTTCGCGGCGCCGGAATTTCCCATGTTTTCAACAACTCTAGTCAATTACAACAGACCGATGATTTGACCTACGTCTTTCTCGCCTGGTCTTCTATACGTAATCGGGGCTCGAGCGCGCTGCTGACTGGCAGCAACCTCGACTTCGCTCAACTCGAGAAACGACCGTAAACCTTTCCACGCTGCTTTGGACTACAAAAGAAACGCATGTCATGTCAGCGCGTTGAACAAACCAGAGAAAGTTGACGATAGTCCCTACTTGTACGTGATAATCATGCTCCAAATTTGCCAGCGAAAGCAATGCTGTCTTCAGATTTGCAGTCCTCCCGGTACCCATCCGCTTTGATTCCACTTTCAGACTGTTCGCGATAAATTGGACCTGCTCTTTAGCCTCGTTCATGCGATCCTCCGCCTACAGCACATAAGAGCTTAATGTGTTAAAACGCGAGTGACAAAGAAACGACCGCGCATTACTCACGTACCGAAGCCATTTTTTGCTCTGCTCGCATGGCTGATGCGGCTGCCCCACTACTCGCCCGTGCAGCCGCAAATCTCTCTTTGTTGCGTTGCATGCTCGCATTTGCTTGTTGAACCTCATGGATAGCTGACTCGCGATTGTGCATAACAGTCTGCAACCAATTGGATACAAAGTCAGTGCGAGAACCCTTCTTGGCTGCCACCGGGTACAACTGCAGACTGCGTACCTTGACAGCGTCCACTTTACCCGCCTGGTACCTCACGATTGACACATACATTGACAGCAACTTGTCGAGCTGAGAATAACGAATGCCACGTCACGTCAATCAATGTTAGGCCACTATACATATTGCGATGTGGTCACTAGCCTCTAGCTTCCCGTACCTGATCTTGATAGATATTTGATACGGTCTCAAAATGGTCGCCAGCGACCTAAACTCAACATCGAACTGCTTGTCAAAAAAATGTACACCCATGCACACAAATGGCTGATGACACGGACCTCAGCGAGCTGCTTCATGTCCGAATCTTTCTGCTCATGCTCGGACAGAGCCGATAAATAGGTGCCAAACCGCGACAATTCATACCCTTCGCTTCGTTGAGCAGCATAGACAACATCGGAGCAGCGCGTAACCTCTCGAATTCGCTTATCATACTCATTGATATGCTGGCCAATCTACAACCACCAAGTGCGTGTCAAGCGCAAATTGTAAGGGTGTAAACATGAGTTACAAAGCACTCGGAACTATACCTTTGCGTAGTCATCATCGGTCTTGATCTCAACTTGCTGCATATTTGAGGATAGAAACACGCCATCTTTCAAACAGCCCCACAAAGAGCTGACAGAAGCAGGTGTAGGGACATACGCGGCAGCAAGGGAGGCCACCTTTAACAGCTCTTTACCAGCTATGAGACCCTGTCACCCACATTTCCGCAAGTACGTTAGTTTGCGTGTGGCGTCAACTGTACCAACATAGTACGTACGCACCTCAGTGCTAGCAGTGAGGACAATCTGCAACTCAAGCGTTTGCGAAAGCTTTTCGTGACTGCAAACTTCATTCTGATCACATAATCACAATCAACACATCTGGTGTTGCTGGCAGCAAAATATGGTAACGTACAATAAAGTGCTCTAAAGCCTGGCGCCGTTCTTCGACAAACGTCGCATCCATGTTTCCAGTCCAGCGCTTCTCCGGCAGCGGCGGTATGATGGTACCTAAGATCCCATGACATGCATTAGCCTTCATCCCGAAACTGTACTACATGCGGCTCATCATCTACCTCGAAAGTGCACTAACAACCGCTGATGCAACCATTCAAAGTCACTAAACCGGCGCTTGACCTGCGCCGCAGTACAAGGAAAGTGCAAGCAGTTTGTCTACACACCATGAAGGACGAGAGGTTCAATTACAAGCGCGTCCCACCAACACAGCCAACAAAGCCCCACTGTCGTTACCTTCGTTGAGATCACATACTGTGTATAGCGAGAGTACCCTGACCCAACAATCACGGGAGTGCTCACAGACACGACAAAAGATCGTTCAAAGTCCGGCATCGTCTTTTCCGGTAGCTAGACACATATTTACCATACACAAACTTCAGTGCTTCGCAACCAGAATAACATCGGCACAAAGGACCGCCACCCTTTACCACATTGTCCACTGGCTGCTCGAGCTGGAAGTTTGCGAGCGGCATCGTCTCTCCCAAGTAGAGACACTGCATTTGGCATTTACCGGTACTCTGTACCAACGCCACGAGCTTCATCGCTACAAACCAGCAGTCCTTGTTCAGCTTCTCCTGCGACTTTCCGCCACTTGCCAGCCTCCAGATCTGCTCACAGCCACCACCCACATCAACACAAGCATTACAAAACTACTACCACGTTCACGTAACCTGAATCTCTTGTGCACGCACTTCTCGATTCGCATCATTCACGAGTCTCGCCCGGCGGATAAACGCCGCTCCTTCGATCCCTCCAATGTAGCCATCTGCATCTGTATCCACCTGCAGGAAGTCACACGAGCAAGCACCACAGTTGTCAGCTCCATCAAAGCAAATAACCGGCGCACAAGCTCATAGACGACGATAAAACAATCGCGAAATCGCCATACAATATGGAAAAGCCTCGCGTACAGCACGCCCTCTTCGCTGCTGAACGTAATCGGTCCATTGACAAACGCGATACTGAAGTCACTGCCGCTTCTGCTGCCGTCCCTCGTCGCTGTGCCACTCACAGGAAGCATCTTCCTCACACTCGCGGGGCTCCTCTTCGCTCGAATGATTGAGGCGTTTCGTGGTGGGGTCGACGATTGTGGTGTGCACCACACCAACTTCAACACCCAATCACGCAGTGATTGATTCGTAATCCATCGCGACGATCATAGGACAATATCGGTAATGCAGACCTCCTCATTGGACGACGTGCCGCTCGACAGCTCTGACGCGGGGGAACGACGCGGGTCTCGACGGCGCCCGCGGGAGGCGAAAGCGTGCGTTGGTTCAGGGCTTCATTATGGCAAAAAAGCAGGCGTCACTTTCGTTTTTATGGTGCTTTCTTGTCGTTTCAGGTCGATGCACCGCCTTGTGATGGAGTATCTAGTAAGCAAAGGCTACCGGGAAGTAGCAGAAGCGTTTCTGCGTGACTCGGATACCAAACGTGTGTGAGTTTGGCGTTAGTTACGCTCTTCTCGACGCGTTGTTAACGTGACGCTGTCGGACTTGATGGAATGGTGGGTGCACGTTAGCAACCGTCGACTTACAGATGGTGCAGGAACGCATGAGTGTGCAGCAGCTGCTACTAGACGGACGTATCCAGAGTGCACGTGCTAAGCTGGTGAAGATGGACCCCAACTTGCTGCAGAAGGATAGCGCGATGGACTTTTTGTTGGTCAAACAAGAGCTGCTCGAGCTGATTAGAGAGCAGGATATTGAAGAAGCGCTGCAGTTTGCTGTCAAGAACCTCGCACCGTTCGGTCAAATGGGTGTGAGTGGTTTAACATGATGAAGCTCTACTGAATGGTGGAGAAGAATGGGTTTTTATGGGACGAATGATGAATGAACAGCCCCAGTTTCTTCACGAGATTGAACGGACGATGTCTCTCCTCGCGTTCCAAAATCCGTCCGAGTCACCGCTGGGACACTTGCTGGAGCAATCTCAACGCCGCCAGGTCGCGGACGAAGTCAACTCTGCGATCTTGCGGAGCCAAGTGCAAGAACCCGGTACGCTAGTATGGCCAGAACTCATGAACTGATTCCATCTTTAACTAACTGCTTGTCCGTTAATCGGCCACCGTGCACAGAGCCCATGCTATCCTTAATGGTCCAACAATTTTATTACATGGAAGAACAACTGGAAGCTAAACTTGATCACCACTCGCAAGGCGTCCGACTCGAAGACCCGACTCGCTAGGTCAGTGTGTAACGATGTCTTGCTTCACAATCGCTTTGTGGATGGCACCCCTGTACACCTTGCTTGTGTGTCACTGATCTCGTGGTTTACAAATGCGTGGTTGCATTTGGTTTGCACCCGCTGATGAATGCCAATATCCAACTAATCTCGAGCCGCTTACCATCATCTCTCCGATTCCTCGTAAAGCTGTTCGATTGCTAGTAACCGCCTCGTGAGAGGACCCGCACCGTAGGGAAACAAATCAGCAGCAGCGAGTCGATCAATTTCAAGCCGTAGTTGGATAAGCACGCCCATCACACCTTCAAGTCGCTGACAAGACTGCAACTTTTGCTTACTCGTGCCCCATTGTGTGTCCAGATGTCGCAGGTATTGCATGATATACTCCAGCATTTGAGTTTCTGCAGCAGCAACATGAGATTGGTGAGTGTGTCGTCAATACGCAAACAAGGGGTGATACACATACCATCTGACACGAGGAGGTCAAGCAGCACTAAATGATCCTGTCCAAGCGTCGCTACGAGATCAGCAAAGAGCAAGTCCGGGTCGAATTCTGCTGCTATGTAAGCAGCGAAGGATGGGCGCAATTGAGCAATGCTGGGGATACGTGCAAAGGTTGTCATCCGTGCAAGATTGTTGAGAACTTCTATCATGGTATCATCTTGCTCAGCCAATACTGTGAAGAGTTGCTTTCGACTGACTTGTGCTTTCGTGATGCGATACGACTCACCACTCATGGTTGCTGATCGCAACTTGTCTCTGTCAGCATCGTTTTTCCGCAGTGACTCTTCCATATATGCAATTCCCATTCGGCTCACACAAAGTAGCCACTGCTGTAGGAACGGGTACCGTCCCGAGCTTGTAACGAATGCGCATTCGCTTGTCGTCGCTGCATTTTCGTTCACATCGAGTAGTTGCAGTGCCGTGGACGTGCAGGATGACTGCAGCGACCATGCGAAACACCTGTCAAGCCACTTGGAATACACAGCTTTCAGACAGCCAACGTCGTCGTCTGTCTGTGCCAGGCGTACCCACGAATTTATGAGATCCTGAAAACCACCAAGCAGCTTTAAGACTGCGCACGATACAAATGTCGGTTGAGAAGCGTAGTCCATCGCCATGAAAACGTCGTCTACGAGTACAATCATTTCCTTGCTCAATTCCACTTGAAAGCAATCGATCTTCTCCGAGCTGCCGATCCGTTTGACAACAGCAATCATAAGCACAAGCGCCTCGTACTGCACCGAGCAAGGAGCAGCTATCGGTGGCAGCAACTCCGCACCTCGTTCTGAGCGGTCGACTAGCAAGAAGACACTGCGCACCATGCTCCCCACTTGTTGAACATTTTCCGTGATCTCCTGTAGATATGGGAACTCCACACCACAATCCACTCGATGCTCCTGGTCTTCCCCCTTTGACGAGTTTCCAGTCTTCACATTCAGTAGCTGCCGCAGCAACTGGAACCGGAATCCACTGGCCTCTCGTCTCCAGCTTGCATCTGATGTTGTCAAGATAGCTCTGTTCGTTTCAATGCATCACAGCAAAGCTAGCGGGTCAGTACGCAATATCAGTGTAACGCAAAGTGTATCAATGAATCTCTCACTTGACGACGCGAGTCACACATTGCGTCTCAATAATCCTGTCGTCATCAAGTATCTTCTGAAGCTCCTCCTTTGCAGCATAAGCCACCAATACATCGTCCTGATCAAGGTACTTCAGCAGCGGTTCCAGTTCAGCATCTAGACGGTCAGGATCACCTAAAACTGCAGCCGCGCTAGCTCCAATGCGGTGGATGTCCACGCGCCACTCCGGCATTAAATTTAGTCTTCATATTCATTATCCACCAATCGATCCAGCGACGATCTTGAAGAGTCGCAGACGTTTGCGTGTCAAAATACGGGTAAAATAAGGGGAACCGTCATTTGTAACTACAGTGTTCACCAAGCAGAATGTCCATGTCACATCCTGCGTACGTGCGGCACAGGCGGTCGACCTCGACCGTGCTTTAGAACTACTCTCTGTGTGTATTATAATGCTACAATGTGCTGTTACCTACCTGAATATGGCCTCGTGAACGAACAACTTGTGGCTGAGACGGTTGAGACGGTTGCTTACCGCTGCAACAACACGGCGATTCAGCTGCTGTTACAGGACACGGTGCTCATTTTGAGCTTGTTTCCAGATTCCACTGAGTATCACCTCACTTTGCCTAGAGATACGAAGAGCAGCTGTATGAACATACAGAACTGGCAATCTTCAAAAGCTTTTGTGCAAGTCACTAGCACCTTTCGATGTCCTTTTATGCTTAAACTCAAGTAAGTCCCCCCAGTTTTGACTCGAAAAGTCGACCTCGCTTCAGCTTCTGACAAGCCACTCGAATCATTTCAAAGCAGCCGACAGCTAGTGCGCATGCAGACAGCAGCCGTCTGTATTAACGCGTGATACTATAAATGCATAATCAGGAAATGGCACCACGTGGCCAGACCTGCGCCGTCACTGCAACTTCAACTATACCCTCTCGTGTGAGTGCCACGTCACTGAACAACGTCAGCTATGATCTCTCGCGGGAGTGCCACGTCACTAAAGCTCCCATTCATTGACATTTCTACTGACTGATTGTCCGACCTGATGGCGTGCGTCGGAAGGTCCCAGACGGTGGAGAGTTATTTGCGCAGGTTTCGAGGCGACGAGACCGCGCACTCGGAGATCCTCGAGATCACTCTCTGCTACGGCATCCAATGCCTGTCGAGGGCGTTTCCGTTCCATGGCGGCGGCCTCACATGCAGCGACTTACGCTCCATCACAGGTCAGCGAGTCAATAAATACATTAACGTGTCGTCGCCTGGCAATGAATTATTAGCCTCGCAATTGTTGTATGAACACCTAATGTATCTGTATATATTGCAATGTTATAATATGGGCATTCCTATGTTAACGGTCTATTGCTATCACGACTGCAGGGTTCGAAGCAGCGAAGAAACAAGGCTTTTGCGTGCGCAAGGGGTCACGCTATGGTGATAAAAACAAGGTGAATAAACAGCAATGTATGCCGGAAAAAGTGCGGATCAAGCCTTCACATGCGTGGAGAGATGGAGAAGTGGAGATGCCGGACTTTTCGGAACCTTCAGCAATGGTGACGGAGGCTGCTGCAGATTTAGGAGTAGCATTGAGAGCTCCGTGCGCCGTTCCGCTGCCATTTGACGAGATTGACTACTTTACGAAGCTGTTGGGGGAATCGCTGGTGGATTCGGCATATCAGACGTTTGCGGGGAGAAAGAGGTTGTCGATTACTACGAAGCAAGAGCTGGATGAACTCTTGTTTCGAGTTGATCAGAGGAAGACGGCAGCGTTGGTTCCGGCGTTAAAGCTACCGCTGGTATCGTTTGCTGGGTTTATAGCTGCATATGTGATGGAGTGCGTGCGTCAAACGCAGAGAACGAGGACTGTGGATAAAGTGCATCATCAAAGTGGTGATTTTTTCCTTCATGGTGGTGAGCGAGCGAGACATACATACGCTCGACAAGAAACAGCTCTGGACTCGTGTAGTTTTCCAATCGCGGACGACTTGAGACAGAGTGCCAGTGCTTCGTGTGCTGCGATCGGCACCACATGCTCGGTCGAGTCAGCAACTGTTGGTACAAGGTGGAAACCATCCCTTCGACAGTCACAGATTCATTCGAAGCAGACTCAGCGAGCTCCTGTGTCTCTCCAGGATCAACAGTCGTCGATCCAGTCCGAGCTGCACACCCAGAGGCAAAAGCCGTTGCGAGTGGAAAAGGCACGGACGCAGGAATTGGCTGATTTCGGATGGACAGCTGAGGATAAGGCGCAGAGTAAGCCGCAGGACGCGCGGGATCGACATCTTACTGCTAGCAAATGGTCTTCTAATGGAATTTCGACGGGTGCGGTTTACTGAGTTTTCGACAACATGTATGCAATTTGGGTAACGTAAATGCTTTCTTACTACCGCAGGTGCCGCCGCGTTGGAGATCGTGGACGACTTCATAAGGAGCCCTTTGATGGACAAGTTTGGTCGAGGAAAGGTTTCTGTATCGTGCGGTAGGATGCCATCAGTGATGTGAATTCCGAGTCAGATTGGTGCTGCCAAAGATACCACCTAGCGTCGATCCCAATCATCTATTGTAGAGCGAGCAACACCGCTCAACACCGCTCAGTACACAAGAATCCACTGAAGGAATACCCCGTACTGCACTATGACAGTAGACGATTTCTTTCTACAATGCAGGCATGAGTGCGACCGCCGGCGAGACGAATCGAGACGGGGCACGGCGCGCTTCCATTGTGGAGCTCTTCATAGACGCTGTAGGTCATGATGTTGCTGCACTCTACAGAACGCAATATATGCGTAAGCCAGGACTGTTTGGCTTACGCAGAATGGAGACGATACCATGGACCTCTACGAGTCATCGCCACAATGGCGCCATTGTATCTGGACTCTTCGAAAGGTGTCCCGTTTAGGAGTGCTCGACATTCTACTCGAACGACGTTTCTCGTGGCATTGTATTCAGATGAAGCCGCGTGGGTAAACGTGGGAGGGATCTGTCTATCGACGCACTAAATGACTGGAATCACCGCAATTTGGTTAACCATGCGGAAGCGCGAGATGATCGATCGTTCAAGCTACGGACAAGTTTTGACGGAGCAGCAAGTAAAAGGGACGCAATACGACTCGACAGTAGATTGACGACGGCCTGATAATGCGCTGATGTAAACATGGACCTTGGATCCGAGTGGCTCAACGACATTGTTAATTTCCCAAAAATATGACCCGAAATCGGTATTTCACATTGGCCCCACTCGAACTGCCACAACCAGGTTTATAAGCGAATAGACGCAGTAGTAAGCGATGAGAAGCTTGCCGTACCATGCTGGACAGTGGTACTTGTAGTGGCCAAAGACCACCAGTGTTGAAGTAAGCGAAACGAAAAGGAAGACCAATGATATCCGAGCGTGGGCGTCCAGTGACAAAATCTCACTGCGCCCGGACACGAATGCAAGTACCATGGGAAGTCCCAAACCAAGCAGTATGTTGAAAACTGGACCAGCGAAACATCCAGCGATAGCCATTTGCGAAAAACCAGCGCGAGCCACTGATACGTCCGTGATGAGATCGCCTACAGAATTTCCCCACGCAAGCACTGTCAGCCCCAACAAGCTGTTGCTAATATGCGTAATATAGCCCACTGCAGCCAGCAACGCCATTAATTCATTCGCCACAGCATAAATCCAGCATACACAAGCCACAAATGCCAGGGAAAGTAGTAAGCTCGACAATTTGAACGAACGAGGTGCATGCGACCGGTGCGTGTAGAGCGCAACGATGCCGCTTACGAAGCTACCCACAATCACGAGAACTTGCCAGAGCGGTACACGGTACGAGAATCTACCGCCAGAGATGTCAATGTTGGTGTATCCGCTTGTTGCTGCGACTAATAGTGGTACAGTTATAGGCGATAGGCACGCCTTCGAACACGACCATGACTCGTTATCAAAAAGAGGGATGGTGACATCTCGCAAGAGAACAAGCGCCGCCTGTGGAATGCACAGCACTTTTATCACGAGCGGCTCATTACTCATAAATATCCGAATGACGCGACGCTTCAGACGCCACCTCAAGCGCATGTGCTGCTGCCACTTTGGCAGCACCTGCTTACTGTCATTGTCGGTATCGCGCTCGCTTTCGGCAATTAGCGGAGACGACAACGCGTCGTTCTCCTCAACGTCAAAGTGATCATTATACACTCGACTTGAGAACCTGGGACCTGCTACTTCACGAATCGGAGACACTCCCAACTTCTTCAACTCCTGTTGCCTGCCCTCTCCATCTCCATCCGCTGTATTCTCGACATCTATGTCACCTTCAGATCCCATGACGAAAGCATCATTATGCCCTCGCTGCCCAAACCTCTTCACTCCTTTCGCATCGTTCCCTCTCGGCGACAAAGCGTGCCAAAACGCTGCAATCATCAAGCTTGATCCGCCTGCCATCTTGGCACTACCACCAGTGTCTCGAGCTGCGTTGTACCTCGCCACAAAGGCTGAAATGACGACACTGCCGACGTAAATCCCGTACAACGCCAGCAGCGTGACCGCAGACACTGCGGTACTCCACATATCGTCTCGGTTGCGACAAACAGCAAGCAGCAGGAACAACAAGAGCGAAGCGACGAGCGCCCCCACGTCCCGTAGAAACGCGCCGCGCTGCACTTCCACAGCACTAGTCAGAGCCACGCCGCCTACGACGACCGTAGAGATAAACATCGCTCCTCCCAGTAGCTCGTTGACCCCTGTCTCCCGCACCCCCGAGCTGTACGCTGCAATAGCTGAGAACACGTCAGGAGCGCCATTGCCAAAGGCCAGAAACGTGACACCCGCGACATCGTGAGGAAGCCCGAGACGGTCACTGAGACTTGCTAAGGTGGGCGAAAAGTAGCCATCTGCTGTACTGCCAACTGTCACCAAAAATGTTACGGGCACAGAACGATGAATAGGGTTTAGAAATGATCGAAATAGAGGGGATTGTACGACGGAATAGAGTGCGAGACTCACGGAAGTAGAAGAGCGCGGCGAGCCACACGATCAATAGAACGAACGAAAGAAACGGCAGACCGGACAGATAGCAGTAGTGGATGTGCACGTAATCGATGGCGAGAGGTCCTAGCGTCATGTTCGCTACGAACGGATTGTCATGGCACGCCGCGGGGAGCATGACTGGCATTTTGTATGGCAGACGTGGGTTCGGTTTCTTGGTAGAAATGGGTTCTTTTTTGTACCCCATGGAGTTGCTGCAATCGTACCCCATGAGCGTACTTGGCGTATCGCTCAGTATCGTACTTACTTTCGTGCGCGATCAAGCGCTTATTTTAGTCAAATGATGAAGTTAGTTGCTTTTAGTAAAAGGTCATAACGGCTCACTTGATCGAGCTCGTTTTTGATTGTTTGCTTTTGTTGATCAGATAATGATAGATAGGGTGCAACGCCATATTGTGACGGCGCTACTACCTCGAAAAAGAGCGAACGATTAGGTCAACTCTATGCTGCGGGCTCGTTTGCGTACTCTATTTAAGCGTCTAACGAGTAAAAATAGACTTACGGACGCTATCCATTCGAATGCTGCTTCACATGACACAGATCGAAGGTCAACGCGCAGGCTCCCCAAATTGTCGCGGCAAAAATCGATTTCGATCAGCGCTCCTTTCCCGAATGGAACATACGCTATCGCTCGCATATGAATAAGCTCCGTTTCTCGTTGTCTTGAATGCTCATGAATAAGTTCCATTCCTCGTCAACATTGGATGCACGAAGGAGTGTGCTTTTGGCTGGACACTTTACCAGATGCGAGTTCACCATACTGGTAATAGTAACCCACCTCAGGTGTTCAAATGCCATGTACTTCCGTGTGCCTCGTTTACAGCTTTGTTCCTGTAGCCCGAATCTGTCACGCACTCGTTTAGGAAGCAACGCCTGCACAGTCGACCCTTTGCAGCGCATTTTAAGACGTGAAGCCAAGTCTCATCGGCTGATCACAATGCAATTTACATACAGAAGGTCACGCACGAGCAGACTTGGTGCCATGTTCGGATTCCGAACAAACTTTTGAGGCAAAGGGTCTATTCGATGAATGTGCCCACACTCCACGAGTCGAGCCTCTTGCTCACTATCGATAACGAAAATCAGGTTGCCTTCAGATTCTCGAGACGCACTGTGCATCGACAACAATAAGAGCAAACAAATCGAGCGGTCGTAGGTATGCTACTTTGACATTCGACGGCCTCGACAATCTTTACATCAACTGCAAAAGATAACTGCGAAGAAGTGCGCTGCGTGTACCGCATAACGACTAGATGGTTTACATTCTTGGTCAATACTATCACGAAGACATCGTTAAAGGTGTCACTTGTGACGGCAAGATCACTCTCTACGCAATCGCATGCTACCAGCAGCAGACCCTGACACTCGAGTTGTGTCACAATACAAGGGTCAAAAAGTCTACGGCTACATGTCCAAAAGTCTAGATCCTTCTTACAACACGCTATTAGCGCTGCACACATCATATCGCATGCAGAAATAGAGGGAAAAGTCGGCTATAGAGAGAGCTTCCCACTCCCTTATTTCTAAACATCCTCCCACTCGATCACGCTGAACCCCTCTCTAAACCGATCCGTAGCTCGCCTCCCACCGTCGTCGACACTTTGCCAACCAATGGCTCCAGCACGTCCTAAACGACCAAGCTATGCAGGTCAAACCCGCGGCGGTAAAAAGCAGAAGACGAAAGGGACCCGCAACAATCGGTGCCCTGACTTCACGGCCAATGTAAGCGAGAGCTTCTGCATCTCGGTCAACTCGGCTTTGCAGTCGCTGGTCCAGGGCGGCGAGCGAGCGGAACTGAGCTTCCCAGCCAGCTACGACAGCTCGCAGCGTTGCTATATCCATGCGATGGCCAGGAAGTACGGTCTCTTTTCCAAGAGTGCAGGCAGGAAAGACAAAGGCCGGTTCGTTCACGTGGCTGCAGTTAAGAAGAACGCAGCTATGGAGAAAGTGTCGTTGCGGTTACAGTCGATGCCGCTGAATCCAGAGACGGTCACGTGGTTTCCACCTCGGATACAGCAGTATATGGAAAACTACCCTGCTCCTTCTATAGAGGAGGAGGGAGGTGCGGATCCATGGGGGGCCAAGAAATTCACCTTTATGGCGTCACCACCGAAAGCACAGCGTGGTCGAGAGGCCATGTTTACGCCTCTGCCGCGTCGAGGCAGTCAAGAAGGACCAAAGATCGTGCGGACTCCATCTGTTGAAGCCACGAGACTGCCAGTATACGGATATCGTGAGCAGATACTGAAGCTGGTTGAGGAGAACCAGGTTGTGGTGCTATCAGCGGATACTGGATGTGGCAAATCGACGCAGATTCCGCAGTTTTTGCTGGATGATGCCTTAGCACGCGGACGGAGCAACGAAACGAGGATTATTTGCACCCAACCACGACGAGTTAGCGCAATGTCTCTTGCGTACCGAGTGGCGCATGAACGCCCTGGACAGAGCCCTAAGGAAGTGGGGCACGCCATTCGATTCAATTCGTCATTTGATGCGAAGAAGTCCAAGCTCATTTTTTGCACGACAGGCACGCTGCTAAACTGGCTCTACAGTGATCCATGTTCGCGTGGCTTTTCGCACATCATTTTGGATGAAGTGCACGAGCGAGACCAGTTTACCGATTTCTTGCTCATTCTTATCAAGACGTCGATTCTGAAGCAGAGACCGGACCTGAAGGTCATTCTCATGAGCGCTACTATCCAAGTGGAAAAGTTTGCGCAGTATTTTCATCCAGAATTCCAGCCACCTGTACTCCAGATGGTGGGGGGTACGAACTTCCCGGTATCTACGCTTTTCCTCGAAGATGTTCTAGCGCTGCTGGAGATCCACCGTACTTCGTCATTGTCGGTTGTGAACAGTTTGCAATATGGTCCTGTTGGGGACGGATCTGAGTGTCGATCAGGAGGAATGGCTGCGAATAACGAGCTCGTGTGCTCATTATGCGGTTCTGCGGGTTTTGAAGATGAAGTCGCGTTCGGCACGCACGTAGCAACTTGCTTTGGCGAGCCCGGTGTTGATTTTGAAGCACCACTTATTCCGGAACCAAAAATCGCCCCAGTAGCAGTGCCTGTTTCTGCTATGGGCGATGTTCTGCAAGCTGCACTGAGTGGGATAAGTGACAAGGCCAAACAAGCACTGCTTGTATCGTATACGAAGCGGCAAAACACACTGTATGCAGACCAAGCCGTGGACTACGACTTGTTGCTACAGCTTCTTTTGATTGTAAACGCTATGTTCCCGCTCCATCAAGATGGAAAAGGAGCTATTCTGGTATTTCTTCCTGGTTGGCAAGAAATCTCGTACATGGAGCGCGCTCTCCTCAAATCACCAGCGACGTCGGCAACCTACGAGATTGCTTTTCTTCACTCAGGCTTGTCACCACAGGAGCAGCATCGCGCGTTTGTGATGCCACCGCCTGGAAAACGGAAACTGGTGTTGGCTACCAACATCGCCGAAACCAGTCTTACTATCGAAGATGTGGTGTTTGTTGTAGACTGTGGTAAATCCAAGCAGACGCATGCGCTCGCTACGTCATCGACGTCATCTTTCGTGATGGGCTTGCAAACTACTTGGATCGCACGGGCGAATTGTGTGCAGCGCACGGGTCGAGCTGGTCGTGTTCGCGCTGGTGTTTGCTTTCGCCTTTTCTCGAAGGCACGGTACGAAACAGCCATGAAAGAGTTCGCGCCTCCACAGTTGCTTACGACTCCGCTAGAGGAGCTGTTGCTGCAAATCGAGCTTCTTCGAATGCATGTACAGCTGACAACTAGCAGCTCCAAGGCATTCCTTCTTGAGGCAATGGACGCACCTAGCGAGGCCTCCATCGATGCTTCTCTGCAGCGACTGCAAGGGATGAACGCACTTAAGAAGACCAAAAAACGGAACCAGGGCCTGACGCTGCTGGGCTGGTATTTGGCGCACCTTTGCTCAGGTGGTGTATCCGTGCAGATGGCGAAGCTTCTCCTTTGGGGGCATATGTTTGGCTGTTTCGACGCTATCTTGATGACTTCGTGCACGCTGAGCGGATACCGGGATCCATTCATCAGTTTTCTTAGTATGTCGAAGGAAGACAAACGCCAAGTCGACGCTGCGAAGAAAGCGTTTGCTCGCCATGGGCTGCCACCAGGGCTTATCCTACAGAGCGATCATTACGGTCTGTATAAGGCGTTAGAGGCATATCTTGAAGTGCAGTCCTCCTCGATGACAACCGAAGCTTTTTGTATGAAGTATAAAATGGATCGACAGACTTTGCACCAGCTTAGTGCGATCTACAAGCAGTTGAAGCACGATGTGGGCAGTATGGGGTTGTCGACCACAACCCAGCTGGTGCCAACCCCCTTGCCAACAACCCCAGCGACAATGGAAAGTGCTGCACAGTACGTGATGGCACTCAGTGTTGGCATGTATCCAAATGCGTTGTTCGCGCGTTCTGATGTAGTGAAACCTTCCTGGACTACGAAAGAAAGAGTAAAAGTGAAGATGGATGGCACTTCCATAGTGGCGTCGCCCTTTGCTGGTTTAACGAAAAAGCGTAAGCGTGGGCATGACGAGACTGCGGGTGTGTGTGAATGGCTCCTGTATCATGAAATGGTGCAGTCCGGAAGTACTCGTACCGCGAAGTATGGCACTAAGCTGCCGTCGCATTTGCTGGAAGCACTTTTTCTGGGATCGGTGGAAACGCAGGTGATCGAGGAACAGAAAACTGTCGCGGCGAAAGGGGAACTTGCAGCGCCAAGCACGTGGTTACTTGTCTTGGACGATTGGTTGACTTTCGAGATCAACGATGCCACTGGAGCGCGTTGGCTTGCACTTTTGCGGGAACGCTTGCATGCCGCGTTCGTTCGTCACTTGGAACGACTGCATGCAGGTTCCAAATCAGGTGGGCGCGAAGCGTTGCCGGAGCCTGATCAAAAGGTACGAGACCATGACGTTGAGCTCGTCCAGGCTTTAATTTCGTGGGTCTCCTCTGATATGGGTCATAGATCAAGGTGGAAGCCCTAGACAGTAGACATACGCAGAAGGGGGCGAACTACTCGCATCTTCTCGGTTCAGGAAGCTGAGCAAAAGTTTGCACAAACACGATGACGTTTCAATAAATACCGTGACTTTTTAAGTTTCGCATGCAGCATCTTGGAATCGGTTGGCGACACTTGCAAAACTGCAAGCAATGACTTCCAAATCGCTGCTTCGCGACCAAAGGATGTAGGTAGCCAGTCATTTGGCAACAAGTAACGTGCATCCCAGTCGGGGATGCATTTGCCGAGGTATTGCAGTGGTCCCACATTAGGTTCGAGCTTGCGAAGGTCAGTTGAGAGTCTCCCGTAGCGCGAACTTGGCTCGAAATGTCGTTGTCAGTGGTCGCGTACAGCTTCGTTTTGGTGGGTGGAATATGAAGACCATGAGGTTGCTGCTATGCATGCTCCTGTGTCAGTGGTTACTGTTTGCCGGCTTGTACACTTGCACACAGGACATGAGGTCCATCTACCCCTTACTTCGTTGCTGGTCCGGATTCCACTGGTAAACTACATGGAAAAGTAGACAAGACACCGTGACTGCAGTCCAACAGGAACGGGTGTGGGGTACGTCCCCGTTCTGGCTTTCGAATGGACTGTAGATGTGTGCACTTCTTCCCTCACAAGAGGATGACGGATCTCAATGGCGATCGTTTTGTTGACGCAGCTTTACTTGATCGAGACGCAGGAGCGATGTGCCTACTGAACATGTGCTGAATACGAGGTGGTAGTTCGAACTCATCTCGCTGGGGACAGGTTGAAGGTGCTTGTTCGCAAATGCTTGCAGCGGCGTCGGTGAGTATTCACGTGCATCAGAAGAGTGCTGCAGGTACCACCATCCTGCCATTACGGACGATCATGTGACCTCTAGACTTTGGCGATTGCATTGAATGCGTTATGATTGACAGCGCCTGAACACCTTCTGAACTGTCCGCAACAGTGCAGATGGACTTGTAGTCAAGTATGCTTCCTATCGGCACTAGCGCAGGGCTGCGTCCACAATCCAGAGCAGAGCTCAGAATCGTACGGAAGGCCTCGAATGCAACTCCGAGGTCTACATTTGACAGGATCTTACCATGCCAATGTAGACCTTTGCATTCAGTGCACGGGCCGCAATGCGGAGGTCTACATTTGACATGGCAGGATCAATCCAACTCTTAGTGAGGTCTCCCAAGGACACGCAGCTTGAGCGGAGAGTGGGTAACAACGAATTGCCCGCGTCTCTCCCCACACTTTAATTGAAATAGCACTAGCCGATCCGGGATCCCAATCAATGAGGTTCGTACTATCATTCTTACAGATTTGGAGATGACGTGTACGATGAACAAAGCCTCCTTACGACATTTGCAATCGTCCAGGTAGTCCACAAGCAGGCTAGACACGACCAAACCACTACACCACTACAGCTTCCACTCACTTTAGACCTCATGGAAGAGTAGAAGTCGCATAATTTCGTAGACCTGTGTCAAACCTAGCCAGGAGCCTAGAAGCGTTACACATTGCCAGCACTTTGAAGAGCAGTAACCCTGGAAAAAGATTCTTGTCTTGTCCACGGTGATCTCAGCTTGTGGCTTATCACACACAATCCGATCGGTTTGATCTTCCGCTCAATTACTGTGAGATCTCCGTTCGCCAACACCAAAACTTACCGGATGAACGCACTGTTCTCTACGTTCGAGCTAGAAACGACGAAAATGCACGTTATTAGTGGAACAGTCCCTTGGTAAACAAAAAGTAAGGACACTGAATCATTGCCTCAGCCTGTACCAGTTGGTCGCGACTGCGCAAGCGATTTCTCCAGCAGTGCCATGATCGTCTGCAATTGACTTTCCTGGCGGCTCAGTTGCACTTGGAGCTGAAGCTGTTCAGGCAGAGATCATTGCAAAATTGTTTAAGAAAACCTTGCCGAAACTGACAGCCAGTTGAGCACGATGGGACCAAACCTGCGTGGTGGTGAGTCGATTGACTTGATCTTGAAGGCATTTAATCGGATGCGCTGGAGAGGAGAACGAAGAGGAGGCAGAAGGCGTGGGAAAAGCTGACGCCGGGACTGAAATTGTCTGTGTCGTCCCTGGCGAATCCAAGTCTACTCACGATCAATCCAGCTTGCAACAACCTTAGCATCTGACGCGCACGAGCGTATCTCCGTTCGTCTGAAGCGCACCTGTAAACGCCGTGTTACTGAATGCTCTTGTCAGCGATATTCGGATCGACTCTTCCAGCGCGTGCTCGCTCTTCTTTTCCTGTTTCTTAAGCATAACTTCGATGAAGCCACTTCCGAGGATAGCACCTGAAACGACCGAACGACAATACGTCAATCCAGAGCTATCGCTTCCACACAAACAGCACCTCTCACCAGGAATGGTGAACAAAATGATGCCCCAGAGAGCTAGCAAGGACGAGAAAGCTCGCCCCGCAGCAGTGATCGGCACAATGTCACCATACCCTAGAGACGTGATGGTCTCGATGGCCCACCAAGAGCATGTACCAATGCTCGAAAACACCTTCGGTTGAGCTGGATTCTCAAGAAAGAAGCTACAACAGTCGACGTGCACAGACACACATCTATCATCAGCACAAAGCACACGTTTTTGCAAGAGCACCTCGTCAAGCACTCACATAGTCGTAGAGGACGTCAACACGATGACAATGGTGAGATAGCTGACGACGCCAAGCTCTTCTTTCTTCAGCGCGAAGATCTCGCGTAGATTTTTCATCGCCTGGTACGAGCGTTCAAGATGCAAGAACGACATGATCCGCAAGAGCCGGAAGCCTCGCAGAGTCAAGACGCCACGTGACGACACTGCTCCCCTACGTGACCACACAGCACGCATTACGCCCGTAAACTCCATTTCTCGCCTCATCTTGCCGAGATGCAGTGTTCACGTACTCCTGCTCGAGCAAAATCTCCAGATAAAATGGGACGAGCACCACCAGGTCAATGATCGACATTGGCCGAGTCATCCACTTCAACCTGCACAAACGCTGTCAATCGGCGCCATCTACACTGTCAAAACAGCCGAATCTATCTCTCGTCTTCCCGTACCTGCCACACACGGGATGCGTATACCGGTCGTCCTCAATACACGACCAGAGACGGAGCACGTACTCGACGGTAAAGAGCGCCGTCGACACGTACAGGAAAATCTCGTACCAATCCGAAGACGTCACTATTGTCCATAACGAGTCAAGTCAGTCGCACGTCTCGCTCAGCTTGACCTGCGTCTCCTTCTCCTGCTAGTTTTTCAGGTTTCTTAAAGGCTGCAACGACGTGACCAAGCAACGTACTCGCAGGACCGAGCGGTGACGCCGACACGTACATGGCCAGCACCACATTGAGCGTAATAAGCACGAGCACGCCAATTTCCAAGAGGTACGACGCGCGGTGCAGTCCCGACCGCTGTTTCAGCGACGTGCGGTAGTGCAGCAGCGTCCAGACGTCACTGCGCAGTGACGCGTAGGACCGAGGGCAGCTGCCGCGTCGACTGGGCGGTCGTTCTCGAGTCGTTACGGTTATGTTGCGCATGCCCAAGGGCACGTCCGCGTCGTCACTGGTTGACAGCAGACACTGCAGCTCGCCTGCGACCATGACGTCTGACGCGGGTTCAGTAACTTCGCGAATGATCCAACAGCTGATGGAGGAAGCAAAGCAAATTGGCCGGACGGAACTCGCTGCTGCGCAGTGTTGTACGACGGAGTCGACTGACTGAGCTGGCAACAGGTGGCCACAGCTGGCTGAGGCAGGTTCGAAGGCTGCTTGGTCACACAGGCTCTACGGGAAGGCGGCAACTCTCCTGCCCCGAGTCTCCCTCTCTCCCTTTGCACACTGTAGTAGACCGACGGGTAGCCGAGAGAGGTTGACCCGGTATTGACAAGCGAACGAACGAACGAGACGGAAGCTTGTTCCCGGCTGCGACGTGAAGGCCAGCACCTCCGTCCGTCCGTCCGTTTGCTGTAGCTGTTCTATGTCCGCACGACTGATGACCTGATTTGCTCCTCGTGACAGAGACGCGGGAGCGCCTTCATCGTCTGCATCTCGGCACTAGCTCTCTGGTTGTGTGGGCACCACGTCGTGGCATCGACCAGGACACAGTCTCACGACTTGTAGCTTTCTCAGTCCGCACGTGCTCGAATGGACCCAGACGCACCACTGGACGAAGGGTATTTGGCTCGGTGCTACTGCATGTCTTTCCAACCGGCACTGGATCTCAACGGGGTCATCACGGTCTTCAGGAGTTCTCTTCGTGGGACCGAGCTCATGCTCAGCGAACGTGTCGGCGAGTTGAGGTAGACCGTGAAGGGTAGGACCTTCATCGCTTTGCAAAGTGATTCGATCCCCACCGTCGACGTCCCCTGCACTAGGATATCCTGCGGACCGCTTCTCTCTTGAGCCGCACGCAGCAAGGAGAGACCCTCTCACCTTTTTACCTTGACCCTACTGTGCGTGACTTGCCGTCCCGGGCAAAAGGATCAGTTTCCTGGCTCTTCAAAGAGTCTCGTCTCTGTCTGTGGTTGCAGCTGGCTGTCGATCGGGGAGTGGCGGCCAGGCTGATGAGGATCAGTCTCCGCACCGCATCTCAACGAAATCACGCCCGCAGTCCTCACTTCGCAATTCACTCGCAGCCAGCCACCCACCCGAGCCACTCGTATGCATAAGCTCTGCCTTCTACTCGCAGTCCCCGGCACCTTTTTCGGTGAAAGTGCCGAATCGATCGCCAGCGGCAACCCGGTAACTGCTTCACGCAGTGACGACACGACATCCAACTCGCCGATTCGTTTGCAGTCCCAGGGCTCGCCTGTGGGCATGACCGCGTCGACTACTCATCGCAGTGTGGGGTCGAACGACTGGATCGCGCCTTTATCAAACCACAAAGGAGAGCGCACAGAGGAGCGAGCGATGGTAATGGATGCGCTGGTTAAGCTTTATAATTACGTCAACGACCTGAAGCTCAATCAGGACACGTACCTCTATCGGAAGCTGGAAGAATGGTTCAAGCGTCCAGTCCACCCTACTGATGTGGCAGAAAACCTGAGCCTTGCTAGACCGGAGGTCAGTCCTAAGGTGCTCGACGCCTGGTTGAGGTATGCTTTCTTGTATGATGAACGTATTGGGAGTATCTCCGCTGACCGAATTTACGAGTCGTTCAAGGGCAGACGTTCGGACGCTGAAGTGTTCAAGCAGCTTATCTCGATCTACAACATCGACAGCGACGACTCCAAGCATAACGTAATCTCGATGTTCAACAAACTAGCTGAAAGCGTCTCATCCGCGCCGGGCGTTGCGGCTTTAAATTGGATGGCGAACGAGTTGAAGGCGTTAAAGTTGCCTCCCGTGGAAGTAGCCGACATGCTGGGTTTGCAAGGTGTTGTGCTCTGTGTGTTGCACCATTCTGCAGCTGCGTGGATTCGCTTCGTTGATCTCTTGCATGAAGAGAATTCGGACCTTGCCATTCCCGTGAAAGAGGCGTGGTCAATGTTGATCGGCGATATGGACATGGAGCAGAAGCATCGATTTCTTCTCCTGGTCTGGCCTGACCTTCCGGCCAGTCTAAACGCTAGAGTGCGACAAGCAGGATCGATGTGGGACTGGTGACGTTGTGCTAGACTGGATAACCAACCATTTCCTAACATGGCCCCGATTTGTGGTTTCTGTTCACGCTTGTGCACCCCCTACCTTCCTCTCCTCCGTGCATTGTGTTCCACATCATCTTCTCTCCATCAAGACACCGGATATGTTGCAGCTCCTTCTATTGCTAGCGCTGCCGTTGGCTCAAACGAAGCTCTCGATACCCTCTGACTACTCCTGTGTCGTCGCTTTTCCCACGTCTCCAGAGATCACGACGTGCCGGTGCCAGGAGGTGTGTCGTGTTTGCTGTGCTGTGTTCGTAGGAGTATCAGGCCACCTGACGACACATGGCCGTTGTCGTCGTAAAGCTCAACCTGTGAGACGAGCTGAAGTCGAGCCTAGTGTGATTGGAGTGGTAGTGCGAGGAGCCAAGGCGGTGGCGGTGCTACAGCACATCTAAGGAGAGAAAACGTCAGACCCAAGACGTTGTCCGGCCTTGATTACCGTCTGAGAGGGCCCTCGAAGCCTGCACTGTTGAGTGACAAGGACTCGGCACATCCGACTGTTCGAGCCTTTGTGCCAGCGATAGAACTACCGTACACAGTGTCGTCTCCTGCACAGCGCAGCAGCAATGTGTTGAGCAGCTCTCGTAGTTGTGTCGCATGTCATAGAGCACATCTTCAGTCGCCGGGACAATCCCCCGTCGTCTTCGACCGATCGACCTTTAACCAGAGGAACTGAATGCTTCCAATTGATAGAAGGAGGAGACATCAAATTGCCTCTCGCTAGGTGTCCGCCGAATTTGCCTTACTCGCATTTAGAATACGATCACAGGGAGCGAGCAACTGGGTCTGTAAGGCGTTTTGGCAAGGTGCGGTTCGTGCGGCAGGGAGTCGCTTGAATGACAAATGAAGCCGTCCAGACGAATGCAACAGGGACATCAGTTTCTTCAGCTGGAACCCTCTGCGCTTGTGCTTGTTCGAGTCGAATCCACTGCTCCGCAACGTACCCATGCTGAGGAATGGCAGTGTACTCTCCTGCTGGAGCCATCGTCGCCTGCACAGAAAGCTGTCGCCTTTGGGCTGCGTAATAAGCTTGTACTTGTTGAGGAGGCAGAGGGGGTAAATCTGGAGCGCTGTAACGGGGCACCCTGAAGCTTGTACTGGTGACAGTACAAGCTACTTATTCTGATGACAGAATAAGGCGGTGCCTCGTAACTTCACGTACACTGGTACGTGCAGAGGAAGACGGTCAGAAGAAGCGAGTACTTGGTTAGAGTAAAAAGTAGAACTGTATTTAGTATAGTTAATGTCTGCAATAAATCACTATTTATCTTCATCTAACTATGTCTAAATACAAATGTGTAAATCAACTATCTGCTCACCACTCATTGCGTGCGTCTGTCGTGGCGCGTCTTCGTTGGTTGATATAATGGCCTATATCAACCAATTAGGAACTACTCGTAAGTGCTACAGAATATTTGTCCGTATGACAATATTCTGAGAATACAACTCTTATAGTTATATTCTATTAACAATTTCTTATAAATTGGTATGTAACGATTCACCCCGTTACATCACCCCCCCTTAACCATCAGTCACTTTAGTGACTGATTGACTAAATGGATACTCATTCCAAATCGTTTGGGACAGGGTTTGCACTTGTTGGTCCGCGTCCACTTTCCAACATCTCATCGCATGGTTAACAAGCCCATGCGATGCGCGAGCAAGGCCGCCGAGAGCGCGTCCGCACGTCTCTGTGCGGACGCCGAAGCAGAAACCACAGCAACTGATGTCTCATCGGTTGCTGAAGCGACCCAGCCTGTGTCACTTGGTGATGCAGGCGCTGGTCATGAAGACACTCGTGTCTTCACAGAGTACGAGCTCGGTGTCTCGTACTCTCCTGATACGGATGACGGATCCGTATCGACGGCGATTGAATCTAAGCCGCCTGCCAAGCGTGGCATGGACGATGCTTTGCGTCGCAGCATCTTTGGTTCATCTGATGAATCAGATGAACCATCGCCGAAGCGAAGGCGCTCGAGGTCGCGAGACTCGGGCGCTAACAGTGGTGTCGGTTCTCCTATGGACACCACTTCGCAACGAGGTGCCAGTACTTCTGTCGGCACATCGCAGGAAGAGCGGGACCGCAATGTCTTGCGTCTCGCTCCAGAAAAGAAGGCATGGATGCCTCCAAAATCCGTCATGGATCACTTGTCGGCGACGACGAGTGATCGTTATCGAACACGATTGTTCGATTCGTCAAGGATCCATCACCTTGACCCCAGCGCGAAAAACTATCGCGCTGAACATGAATTCTTCATCGATGCTTTCTTTAGACATCGATGGTACAGTGAGAATCACAAGCGTGATGGTCCCTCACTGCTTCAGGCGTGGAACGCCTACATCCATAACCTTGAGGATGTAGGTCGTGACGCTTGGAACGACAAACTTATCAAAGCTCGTGATTAGCTTGAAAAGCGAACCCCGACAGGTGCACGCTACAAGCTGCATCGTCTGTCAAGGGAGAAAGGATTACCCTGCCTCTCTTGGGGAGACTCGTGCCCATGTTGTGTGAACAACTCTGCACGAGCACCTAAGGAGGCTTACCTCCTTACTAGCCCGTGGTGGCGCGTACGTGTCTCTGCTGAGATGTACGAAGGGATTGACAACCTGAAATCCCTTTACGACCGTGCCGGGAAGACTTTCTCCGGCGGTCCTTCTGCGGCACAGGATGTGCCGCGTCGTACTGCTCAACCAGACCCAGTACGTCGATCATCAGTTGGGAGCGGGGCTCCCAAGAATCCCAGGACGGGGGATAGCCGCGCCACCGGACGAGATAACTCGTCCGACGTCCGTTCACGTCGCGGTGGTTCAACAGCTGCTCAACTAGATAGCGCTGGCCACCGCGAGAGTCCTCTAATGGAGGTGGAGGAGGAGGAAAGACGCTCTCCACACGATCATGGGGATCCGTGTGTTCCCGAGAGCTCTTCTTTGATCGCGTAACGCAAGAGTTACGCAACGATCTCGAACATGAGCGGGACAGGCGTCTCCAAATGGCCGACACTGTCTCGGAGCATCGAGCTGAGTTTGCCTTTGCTCAGCTTGAGAACGAGAGAGCTCTGACATCTCTTCGTGAAGAGCTAAGGGTAGCTCGTGGGATTGTTGATCGGCCTCGGGATGAGATTACTGCTCTTCAGACCCTTGTCGATGCCCACCATGGGGAGCACAAGGCTCTCTGCAAGATGCTTGAGCGCAAGGGCGTTCTTCATCGAAAGAAGCAGCGTACTGATGGTACGGCTTAAGCCGACCAACGTAAAACGTGGGATGTGTTCGCATCTTACGTGGTAACTCGATCGTGTATGCATTGCCTAGGCGGTGCAATACACGAAACGGGCCGATGTACTTGGGTAGTAGTTTACTACTACCCAAGTTAGTCACTACATGCTTTGGTAGATTAACCGTAGATAGTAGGACTAAGTCACCTTTATTAAATAAAAGAGTGTTTGCCCTTCCATTCTTGTCAGCGTTTTGCTTTTGCTTATCCACCGCTTCGGAGATGGAATCTTGCACAAAACATATTACCGTTTCACGAGCCAGCATGAACTCATCTGATGACTCGTTATCTTCAGTGCGCTGTGAGCGCACTGCAGCAACATCAACCTTTTCTTCAGTGAGGGCTTCCGCACTCTCACTGGCATCATCTTCTTCGATATCGATGTTATCGATATCGGCATCAAACGCAATGACTTCTTCGTCAGAGCGTGATGAGCGTGAACCAATTCGGTTTTTGCTCGCGCGAGTCCCTCCCCCTTTAAACCAGAGTTACACTCTAGTAAGGTGGGTACACGCGGATGGCGCAAGCCATTCACGTAAAACGGTGTATGTGTCGTGGACGCATGCACCGAGTTGTTGATGGCAAACTCTACCATTGGCAAAAACCCACTCCAACTCTTAAAGGAGTGTACGTATCCTCGAAGTATCTCTTCAAGGACACGATTGGCACGTTCCGTCTGACCATCTGACTCTGGATGATCAGATGTCGACATCTTCAAGCGCGTTCCGAGTGATTTGAACACGGAACGCCAGAAATCAGCAGTGAATCGTGGATCTCTGTCTGATACAAGTTCACGGGGCAACCCATGAAGTCGGAAGATGGTGTCAATAAAGACACAAGCACAGCCACTTGCCGTGATTGTCTCTGGTACAGCCACAAGGTGTACCATTTTGCTGAATCTGTCAACAAATACGAGAATACCCGTATTCCCGCGTGCGTCTTTGGGTAACCCGAAGACGAAATCCATTGAGATGGATTCCCAGCACTCAGCCGGAACCGGTAGAGGCTGTAAAGGTGCACGCAGTGAAGGACTTGACTTCACTCGTTGGCAGACTTCGCATGCGCGAACATACTTTCGCACAAACTGATACTGGCGGGGCCAGTAAAAGTCTCGACTTACCGTGAGGATATGTTTTCTCTCGGCCACGATGTCCTCCTATAGGAGCATCATGGTACTCGAACATGATCCGCAAACGCAGATCAGTATCATCTGGAATGACAACACGTGGTGTGTCACCAGAAACGGCTGTATAATACAGTAAACCGTTACTAGTAGTGTATCGATCTGATGCAGATCGATACGCAGAACGACAATCGTTTCAACGATTCTCGAGATGGTTGGGAGAGATGTGTCAACAACTTCACTATCTGGGTTCACCATCTTGGGCGTATGCCCGCCTCACATCATCATACAACGTTGTAGATGGGACTGAGGACGTCATAACCGCAACAGTGACTGTCTCACTGTTGGGTTTCGCGACTGGTTCAAAGTCGGGACGACGTGAGAGTGCATCAGCGATGACATTAAGTCGTCCTGGTTTGTACTCGACCGTAAAGTTGTATTCTGCAAAGAATGACAACCACCGCGCCATTCGTTGTGAAAGGTGCGGGCTGTTCACTGCCGTGCGTAATGACGCATGGTCAGTGTAAACAATGAAGGGTATATCTCCTAAGAGATAGACTCTGAACTTCGCGAGTGCATATTTCATGGAAAGGAGTTCCTTGTCATGCACTGGATAGATCCGCTCAGAGGGTTGCAGCTGACGCGACTGATAGCAGACGACGCGTTCAACGCCTTCAAGATCGTACTTGCATTAATGCACAGCCGATTGCGAAATCGCTGGCATCACAGACCACATGAAATGGCCTGTCCTGATCGGCTGTTGCTAGGACTGGGGATTGTATCAAGCTCTGATTGATACCATCAAAGGAGCGCTGACATTCAGCGTTCCATAACCACCTTTCGTTCTTTTTCAACAAACGAGAGAGGTGTACAGTCATCTCGGCGTAATTGCGTGAATACTTGTGCAAATACGCCGCTAGCCCAAGAAATTTTCGAAGACCTTTGACATCAACTGGCACAGGCCAGTCGGTGATCGCCTTAATCTTTTCGGGATCAGGACGTACACCGTTCTTACCAACGATGCACCCAAGAAGTGGTATTTCGCTTGCTGCAAATATACACTTCTTGAGGGTTTGCATACAATTGGTGCTTTCGCATGATTGTAAGAACCTGTCGGACGTGGTACCTGTGAACCTCAACGTCCGACGTTCCATCCATAGCCCGACTATGGATGAATACATCATCGAAATAACTCGGCGCGAATTCTCGTACTGGTCTCAACAGATGTGTATCACATCTGTTGAACGTGGCAGGGGCATTACTGAGCCCTTGTGGCATTACTAGCCATTCCCAGAGCATGCCGCTAGGCGTGCTAACTGCGGTATAGGGTACATCCCGTTCTTCGCATAAGGATTTGATAGAAGCCATCCATCAAATCCATGGACGAAAAGATGGTACTCTTTGACATACCATCAATGATTACGTCCTTCCTCGGTATCGGCGTCTGAGCCGGTACCGTTGCAGCGTTCAATTTGTTGAACGCGTGCACTATCCGCCACCCTCCTGTTGCTTTTCGCACACAGAAGGTCGGAGAGCTATGTGGGGAAGTTGATTCCCCTCACATGGCCCGCTGCTAAACGATCGGCAAAGAACTTGTCGATCGCAAGTACTTGTTCACGGAGGCAGTGGCCACTGCTTCATGACACAGTACTTCGAGCCTGGTTTAAGCTCGACCTCGTGTAGAATACCTTTATCCTTCGGTAATTCGCACGGAACAGTTTCAGGGAATACATCCTTGAATTCAACCAAATCTTCATAGAGAGGATTTGTCTTGAGCGATTCCCATGATTGGGAGTCATATCGCTCAATTCGTGTCTTTTCATCTAGGACACTCTCGTCCATAGATGAACTACTGAGAACTCTCTCGTTCTCAGTAAACACTGTTGCTGACCTTATGTCGGCTAACACACTCGTCGTCAGCGACGAGTACGCAGATCTGCTTGACTTTGCCACTACGCAGATCACGCAAGAACCTTTTTATGTTCGAGCGTTGGCAACTGAGTGATCTCCGAAGTTAACTTCGTAGGCGCAATCAGATCAAGTGTATAAGGCGCCTACACTTGATCCGTTATTGACTATGACATTCAATGTCTCTGTCATTTCCTGGGGACTTATTCCCCCTCAGGCTTCGAAGGACTTATTCCTTTGTCTTCCCGGGGACTTATTCCCGCGGGTTTCGGGGGAACTTATTTCCGCCGTATTTGTAATCTTGGGACTTATTCCCTTTACTTCCTCTAGCTGGGGTTGTGCAATCGCAGCGAGATCCTCTACGAAAGACTCTCCGGTCGATCTGGTTCAGGATTATCGTTTCGCTTAACCCGAGCGATCGATTGTTTCTCTTCTAGATGTTCCCCGCTAGGGATACATCTTTGTCCCAGTCCACTCGACTTATTCGAGTGGTGGACCTTCGGCGCAGCCTGTGTTTCCTCACAGCCGCCGGAACTTTGCTCCGAAGTGTAACCGTTTGGTACACTAAGGTTTTGTGCAGTCGTACTAACGACCGTACCACAAGTGAGGCCATCGCACTCACTCGTAGTACATCCACACGCTTGTGGACGCTCCAAAACGTTCATCAGATGGCCATCTGATGAACAAGCGGCAGGCATCGTTACTGTTCGATGTTGCCAGTTTACCCGTGGTTCGTACCTTCTGAGCCACGGTATTCCCAGGATGACATCAAATTTGTCATCCAAATCCAATACGATAAAGTCATCGTCATATTGGGTATCTTCTAGCGTATAGTGGATCTTCACTATACGCTTCATGACGGTTACGGATGCGCCTGTCGCAAGACGTACCGTCATCCTCGTAGGAGGTGTGTCACATTCACTGAATTTAAAGTGACCATCTTCTAGCGATTGGCGTCGCACAAAACTGTTGGACGCCCCACAATCGACTGAGAGCTCGAAGGGACAACTTATTCGTCACTTCGAGTTTCAAGGTAATGAGTGAGACCTCATTACCTAGAGCGAGCAACGCACAACGTTTGTGTGTTGGGAGCAACCTTCATCAAGAGGAGGCCTACAAATTCTCTTGACGTTGCTAGACCAGTAGGGTGCTCCGCACCTACTGATCCTGTCCGTTTTTGACGGTCCATCCCGTTGTTGCGTCTTTGCACCAACTGCGGACCCTCGTCCCTGCCCCTTTCCTCATGGGTGGACGGTCACTACGCCCAGTGTCGCGAAACACTGGACGAGGGAGGGGCACTACACTCGTAAGCGTAGTGTCCTGTCTTTTTGACATCTGTTGCATCTCTGCAACTTCTTGTAGCCTGTAGAGCGAGCCTTCTCGCTCTCTACATAACAGAGTTCCATCGGCTCTGGACCTCCGTTGTCATATCGTCTCGGTTGACGATATGATGTCGAGCTGGCGCGAGCCTGTCTCAGACTGAAGTCTTCCTGCTCCGCAATGGAAATGGCTTGTTCTAGTGAATCTAGTTCAAGCCGGAACAGGTGAGTCTTGACGGGACCATCCGCAAGACCCTGCATGAACACCGAAACCAACGTGTGTTCATCCACCGGATTGGAACTTTTACAACTCGTGAGATGTCGTATATGTTGAGCGTAAGCGTGTACATCACGCTTACCCTGCTTGAGCTTCAAGAGTTCATTTCGAGCTTCGAACTCAGCTCTAGGCGGTTCAAACGTTTGTCTGAGCCGCGACTTGAAGACTTCCAACGACCCAAACGCATGTGGGTCGTGCAACTTGAGCCCCAGTGCCCAAGTCTTGGTACGTCCTGCCAGATTTGACTGGGCAAATGCAACCTGCATATCCCCGTCGTCGATGCGACGCGCCCTTATGGCGTCATCCAATTCGACGAACCATCTCAAGAGGGAGTCTTCTTCGACCCCCCTATACTTGGAGATGTCAATCTTCAAAGTCTCGGGTCGACGCGAGTGCATCGACCCGCCAGCAGCAGCCTGCTGCTGTCTCAACAGTTCCAACTGTTGAGCACCCTGTTCTCTCAACAACTCTGCATGTTGAGAACCTTGTTGGTGAAGCAAGGCTACTTTCTCGCGTTCTGCGTCAAGTTCATTTTGAATGAACTTGGCGATAGTAGCATGTTGGACATCTATATTGAGAGCCTCTAGCATGACGCTAACAGCATGAATGCTAATGGTCGAACCCATTCGTTCAACCGCATCCCATTCAACATCGCTCAAATGGGAGTAGCCGTCACGCGTAGCGTGGAAGCTTTGGTCATCTTCATCATCCAACATATTCATGTTGGATGTGAACGCGGTCCTTGGACGGACTACGAAGTGCTACCAGGTGTAACGGGGCACCCTGAAGCTTGTACTGGTGACAGTACAAGCTACTTATTCTGATGACAGAATAAGGCGGTGCCTCGTAACTTCACGTACACTGGTACGTGCAGAGGAAGACGGTCAGAAGAAGCGAGTACTTGGTTAGAGTAAAAAGTAGAACTGTATTTAGTATAGTTAATGTCTGCAATAAATCACTATTTATCTTCATTTAACTATGTCTAAATACAAATGTGTAAATCAGTTATCTGCTCACCACTCATTGCGTGCGTCTGTCGTGGCGCGTCTTCGTTGGTCGATATAATGGCCTATATCAACCAATTAGGAACTACTCGTAAGTGCTACAGAATATTTGTCCTTATGACAATATTCTGAGAATATAACTCTTATAGTTATATTCTATTAACAATTTCTTATAAATTGTTATGTAACGATTCACCCCGTTACAAGCGCTGCATAGCACCCCGTCGATAGATATTGAGGCGGGTACGAGCCTCGACATGCATGCCACTGCGGATATGGCTGGCACGCCAGACCGTAATCTGATGGAGGGGGGTAGCCATGCTGGAGAGGCAGGCAACAGCTACCTCGAGGGGGGAGAGGTACCACCGTTCATCATCTTTGAGCTGCTTCTCGACGACTGATAAAGTTATGCGTGAGGACTCGCACTTGCATGTGCTACAGACAGAATTGACTGTAACGGGGCACCCTGAAGCTTGTACTGGTGACAGTACAAGCTACTATCTTATTCTGATGACAGAATAAGGCGGTGCCTCGTAACTTCACGTACACTCGTACGTGCAGAGGAAGACGGTAAGAAGAAGCGAGTACTTGGTTAAAGTAAAAGTAGAACTGTATTTAGTAATAGTTAATGTCTGCAAGAAATCACTATTTATCTTCATTTAACTATGTCTAAATACAAATGTGTAAATCAACTATCTGCTCACCACTCATTGCGTGCGTCTGTCGTGGCGCGTGCGCTCTTCGTTGGTTGATATAATGGCCTATATCAACCAATTAGGAACTACTCGTAAGTGCTACAGAATATTTGTCCTTATGACAATATTCTGAGAATACAACTCTTATAGTTATATTCTCTTAACAATTTCTTATAAATTGTTATGTAACGATTCACCCCGTTACACTGCTAGTCTTCTTGGTGATTGTCGTATATTTTCAGTGTATCTAGACGTTACAGTTACGGAAGCTTTAACACTAACGTCGGCTGCAACCCATGACAACATCAGGTCTGGCGCATCGGTGCTACCGCAAAAAACTGTCAATTCACATGACCTTCTGCTAACGAAGAGCTGGTTTACCCCTGCATTGCGATATACTCTGCACCAAGACCTAAAATGTAACGGGGTGAATCGTTACATAACAATTTATAAGAAATTGTTAAGAGAATATAACTATAAGAGTTGTATTCTCAGAATATTGTCATAAGGACGAATATTCTGTAGCACTTACGAGTAGTTCCTAATTGGTTGATATAGGCCATTATATCAACCAACGAAGACGCGCCACGACAGACGCACGCAATGAGTGGTGAGCAGATAACTGATTTACACATTTGTATTTAGACATAGTTAAATGAAGATAAATAGTGATTTATTGCAGACATTAACTATACTAAATACAGTTCTACTTTTTACTCTAACCAAGTACTCGCTTCTTCTGACCGTCTTCCTCTGCACGTACCAGTGTACGTGAAGTTACGAGGCACCGCCTTATTCTGTCATCAGAATAAGTAGCTTGTACTGTCACCAGTACAAGCTTCAGGGTGCCCCGTTACACCTGGTAGCACTTCGTAGTCCGTCCAAGGACCGCGTTCACATCCAACATGAATATGTTGGATGATGAAGATGACCAAAGCTTTCACGCTACGCGTGACGGCTACTCACGTTTGAGCGATGTTGAATGGGATGCGGTTGAACGGATGGGTTCAACCATGGGCATCCATGCTGTTAGCGTCATGCTAGAGGCTCTCAATAGAGATGTCCAACATGCTACTATCGCCAAGTTCATTCAAAATGAACTTGACGCAGAACGCGAGAAAGTAGCCTTGCTTCACCAACAAGGTTCTCAACATGCAGAGTTGTTGAGAGAACAGGGTGCTCAACAGTTGGAACTGTTGAGACAGCAGCAGGCTGCTGCTGGCGGGTCGATGCACTCGCGTCGACCCGAGACCTTGAAGATTGACATCTCCAAGTATAGGGGAGTCGAAGAGGACTCCCTCTTGAGATGGTTCGTCGAATTGGATGACGCCATAAGGGCGCGTCGCATCGACGACGGGGATATGCAAGTTGCATTTGCCCAGTCAAATCTAGCAGGACGTGCCAAGACTTGGGCACTGGGGCTCAAGTTGCACGACCCACATGCGTTTGGGTCGTTGGAAGTCTTCAAGTCGCGGCTCAGACAACCGTTTGAACCGCCTAGAGCTGAGTTCGAAGCTCGAAATGAACTCTTGAGGCTCAAACAGGGTAAGCGTGATGTGCACGCTTACGCACAACATATACGACATCTCACGAGTTGTAAAAGTTCCAACCCGGTTGATGAACACACGTTGGTTTCGGTGTTCATGCAGGGTCTTGCGGATGGTCCCGTCAAGACTCACCTGTTCCGGCTTGAACTAGATTCACTAGAACAAGCCATTTCCATTGCGGAGCAGGAAGACTTCAGTCTGAGACAGGCTCGCGCCAGCTCGATATCATATCGTCTACCAAGACGATATGACAGCGGAGGTCCAGAGCCGATGGAACTCTGTTATGTAGAGAGCGAGAAGGCTCGCTCTACAGACTACAAGAAGTTACAGAAATGCAACAGATGTCAAAAGACAGGACACTACGCTTACGAGTGTAGTGCCCGTCGTCCAGTGTCTCGCGACACTGGGCGTAGTGACCGTCCACCCATGAGAAAGGGGCAGGGACGAGGGTCCGCTGTTGGTGCAAAGACGCAACAACGGGATGGACCGTCAAAAAACGGACAGGATCAGTAGGTGCGGAGCACCCTACTGGTCTAGCAACGTCAAGAGAATTTGTAGGCCTCTTGATGAAGGTTGCTCCCAACACACAAACGTTGTGCGTTGCTGCTCTAGGTAATGAGGTCTCACTCATTACCTTGAAACTCGAAGTGACGAATAAGTTGTCCCTTCGAGCTCTAGTCGATTGTGGGGCGTCCAACAATTTTGTGCGACGCCAATCGCTAGAAGATGGTCACTTTAAATTCAGTGAATGTGACACACCTCCTACGAGGATGACGGTACGTCTTGCGACAGGCGCATCCGTAACCGTCATGAAGCGTATAGTGAAGATCCACTATACGCTAGAAGATACCCAATATGACGATGACTTTATCGTATTGGATTTGGATGACAAATTTGATGTCATCCTTGGAATACCATGGCTCAGAAGGTACGAACCACGGGTAAACTGGCAACATCGAACAGTATCGATGCCTGCCGCTTGTTCATCAGATGGCCACCTGATGAACGTTTTGGAGCGTCCACAAGCGTGTGGATGTACTACGAGTGAGTGTGATGCCTCACTTGTGGTACGGTCGTTAGTACGACTGCACAAAACCTTAGTGTGACAAACGGTTACACTTCGGAGCAAAGTTCCGGCGGCTGTGAGGAAACACAGGCTGCGACGAAGGTCCACCACTCGAATAAGTCGAGTGGACCGGGACAAAGATGTATCCCTAGCGGGGAACATCAAGAAGAGAAACAATCGATCGCTCGGGTTAAGCGAAACGATAATCCTAGATCGACTGGAGAGTCTTTCGTAGAGGATCTCGCTGTGGTTGCGCAACCCCAGCTAGAGGAAGTAAAGGGAATAAGTCCCAAGATTACAAATACGGCGGAAATAAGTTCCCCAAAACCCGCGGAAATAAGTCCCCGGGAAGACAAAGGAATAAGTCCTTCGAAGCCTGAGGGAATAAGTCCCCAGGAAATGACAGAGACATTGAATGTCATAGTCAATAACGGATCAAGTGTAGGCGCTTATACACTTGATCTGATTGCGCCTCCGAAGTTGACTTCGGAGATCACTCAGTTGCCAACGCTCGAACATATAAAGGTTCTTGCGTGATCTGCGTAGTGGCAAAGTCAAGCAGATCTGCGTACTAGTCGCTGACGACGAGTGTGTAGCCGACATAAGGTCAGCAACAGTGTTTACTGAGAACGAGAGAGTTCTCAGTAGTTTATCTATGGACGAGAGTGTCCTAGATGAAAAGACACGAATTGAGCGATATGACTCCCAATCCTGGGAATCGCTCAAGACAAATCCTCTCTATGAAGATTCGGTTGAATTCAAGGAATATTCCCTGAAACTGTTCCGTGCGACTTACCGAAGGATAAAGGTATTCGACACGAGGTCGAGCTTAAACCAGGCTCGAAGTACTGTGTCATGAAGCAGTGGCCACTGCCTCGTGAACAAGTACTTGCGATCGACAAGTTCTTTGCCGATCGTTTAGCTGCGGGCCATATGAGGGAATCAACTTCCCCACATAGCTCTCCGACCTTCTGTGTGCGAAAAGCAACAGGAGGGTGGCGGATAGTGCACGCGTTCAACAAATTGAACGCTGCAACGGTACCGGCTCAGACGCCGATACCGAGGAAGGACGTAATCATTGATGGTATGTCAAAGAGTACCATCTTTTCGTCCATGGATTTGATGGATGGCTTCTATCAAATCCTTATGCGAGAACGGGATATACCCTATACCGCAGTTAGCACGCCTAGCGGCATGCTCTGGGAATGGCTAGTAATGCCACAAGGGCTCAGTAATGCCCCTGCCACGTTCAACAGATGTGATACACATCTGTTGAGACCAGTACGAGAATTCGCGCCGAGTTATTTCGATGATGTATTCATCCATAGTCGGGCTATGGATGGAACGTCGGACGTTGAGGTTCACAGGTACCACGTCCGACAGGTTCTTACAATCATGCGAAAGCACCAATTGTATGCAAACCTCAAGAAGTGTATATTTGCAGCAAGCGAAATACCACTTCTTGGGTGCATCGTTGGTAAGAACGGTGTACGTCCTGATCCCGAAAAGATTAAGGCGATCACCGACTGGCCTGTGCCAGTTGATGTCAAAGGTCTTCGAAAATTTCTTGAGCTAGCGGCGTATTTGCACAAGTATTCACGCAATTACGCCGAGATGACTGTACACCTCTCTCGTTTGTTGAAAAAGAACGAAAGGTGGTTATGGAACGCTGAATGTCAGCGCTCCTTTGATGGTATCAATCAGAGCTTGATACAATCCCCAGTCCTAGCAACAGCCGATCAGGACAGGCCATTTCATGTGGTCTGTGATGCCAGCGATTTTGCAATCGGCTGTGCATTAATGCAGTACGATCTTGAAGGCGTTGAACGCGTCGTCTGCTATCAGTCGCGTCAGCTGCAACCAGCTGAGCGGAACTATCCAGTGTATGACAAGGAACTCCTTGCCATGAAATATGCACTCGCGAAGTTCAGAGTCTATCTCTTAGAGATATACCCTTCATTGTTTGCACTGACCATGCGTCATTACGCACGGCAGTGAACAGCCCGCACCTTTCACAACGAATGGCGCGGTGGTTGTCATTCTGTGCAGAATACAACTTACGGTCGAGTACAAACCAGGACGACTTAATATCG